TATTGTCTAGGAATGCACAGTATAAGAAAAAATATGTATCAGAAATACACACACAAACCACAGTTTAGAAGTACAGAACAAATGTTGATGGAGAGTTGTGCATCAGCGGATTTGTGTTAGTCACATCAGTCTCCAGTTTTGCTATGCTGCATCAATCCTGATAATAACCTTGTGGACTGTGACTCCCACACGAAAATTTATTTCACATTTTCTAAATACATGATGCTGTGTCATGTCCTGTGTCAATTAATTATGTCATATTGAAAATAAGAGAAATAATTCACAGATTTCTGGTTTGCTCCCTGCTGCTGCTATGTATTTTTAATTTATATAGATGTTTCAAACAGTGAGTTAGAAATCACAGCGTATCAGAGAAATGCTGCATAAAAATTAGGAGTGCTTGGGAGATTTCCTGCATGCTTGTGACCTTGTGGGTGAAGTACTTTTGTCTAACTAGGAGAAAGTAATGTAAGGGAAGTGTACTGACGTTTAGTCTGTGATCCCAGACACAGTCCTGTTGCACAGATGAAGCTCAATGTAACCCAGTGGTTTCAGAGCAGAATGTCAGATCTGATTACCCAGATAGAGAACAATGCTAAATGTAGTTCATCTTGTGATTCCCAATTGTTTCAACCAGAATAAACTGGTTTTAAGTAGTGCTACATCAGTCTGGGAAGGGGTTAAGTGTTACATTAAGTGTTAAGTGGTGGCTTAAGTGTTATAGATAGGGACAAAAAGTCCCTAGACTTTTTGTTGCAAGCAAAGTTTTATTAAAACTTCTGATTGCACGTGCAGCTTCAGTGCTTTTATTCCTCCATGTTTTCTGTCCTACAGTTTCTCACTGCCTGTATGGTGGGAGATATTTCACTGGCACCCATAATGTCAGAGAAGAGAGCTTTCCATCTTTAATCAACAGCAGGAGCGAGTCTTCAGCACATGTTAAGATGCTTCTAGCTAACTTCCACTTCTGGTCATAATCTGCTGGAGTTTTTTGTTGCTTGTTTTTCTGCTGTTCTTCCCTTCTCCCCCTGCAGCAGGAGGAGCTCAGAGCAGTTATGCTGTTTAGAGGGCAGTTAGAGCAAAGCGGTTTCTATACCCGGAGCATCATGGTTGTGATGAAAGACAGCTTTAGAAGCTGGAGGCTTTAGGAGGATGTCCAAAGGAGCATTAATTCAGAATTATGTTTTGCAGTCCAAATTCCTCAGTGGCAATTATGTTGTTCCTTGTTCTCTTGGGTCTGTGTGGGTAGTGTGTTCCAGCTGATGCAGAAAGAAGTCTTCCCATGTGCAAGAAAATTTACTATAACATATCTTGTGTATTTCTTGTGAAAAGCATAAAAATGTTGAGAAAAGTATCTGTAAGCTGCTACGATTTCTGCTGGCAAAACAGTGAAGAAAGCCAAGGAGCTGGACTTCAGACTGCTGTGTAGCAAGGCTCATCGTTTCTGTGGCATTGTGGTGTGCTCACCATGACAAAAGCTCTTCTGCAAAATGAAACAGAGCTGAGCTTTTTCTTTTTTGGTTAGCAAACCTGTGTGTTACACTTAATACTCACTTTCACATGTGGGTGTGCATAATTTGATGCTCATGGAAGGGAGTACTGAAGAAATAGAAGTGTTGTGATCATGTGTGAAATTAAAACATTACCTCATTATGTTAAGAAGAATGCTGGTTGTATTTTAGTTGTGGATATAGACAGTCATAATTTCCAAAAAGAAATGAGTGGCCTAAATTACACTTTTTTGTTAAGAGTATGCAAATATGTTTTAGAGAGAAAATTAGGTTTTGAGATTAATTGAGTTTGCTGAAGCTTCTCACTTCATAGTAGACTTTCACAGAAGGATTGAGAATAAAGAGTGTGACTTAGGTTTGTGCATAAGTAGGTGTGAGAGGGTGGAAAGGAAAGAGAAAGCAAGCTATTTCCTGCTGCTAAAATCGCTTTTTATCTAAATATCACTGAAAGGTCACCTTTGGGGATTTGCATGCTGCACAGATGCATTCCTTGTAACTTGCTGAGGTCATGCCCTTGATCAGAGTTGTGAGGAGGGCATCAGAAGGGCACAGGAGATGGTTCAGGGCAAACTTTTTGCCTATTCTTGATGATTAAGTTTCTAATCAATGGGAGAAGAAAAAATTGAATCATCTGATGAGGGGAACCTAGATTTAAAGGGCAGGCTGAGAGGGAGGACTTCTTTGTGGAGGTGACTGACTAGTGCACCTGCTGGGTATATTCTTGATGGGGAAGTAATTTCAGTGAGAAACAAAGATCCTGTGGATGCTGGCACCACTTGCTTTCTTTTACCCTCCCAGGTGGCATGTTTACCATGATGTTCAGAGTCAGGGAGCTAGTGAGGGGAAGTGAAACTGGTGTTAACCCATGGATCTGCAATCAGTATTGAAAGTTTTTATTTGGTCACCAGCAGTGACTGGAGTTTTTGAAACTCTTGAGAAGCTGCTTCTTAGGACAAATAAATGAGACATAATTGATTTACGTCTGCATCTACATTAGCAGTTTGTTTCAGATTAGGAGTGCATTTCTGAAGTGAATTTTAGTTGTCTCTGTTGCTGCATTTTTGTTCATAACTTGTAGCATGTGAATAGTGCTTCTTTTGCCTAAAACTGTTGGAGGGAGCACACTGCACATGCTTTTAGTGAGATGTTATCCAAGAGTACAGTTGGCTAGAGGTGCCCCTTCAGTGTTTAAAAAATAAAACAATAGTTTGTTAAGTGCCCCATAGCTAGTTTTTAACTCCATCTTGGAGATGATGATAATCAGCAAGATTGATCTCCAGGCATTTTTTCAAAGCATTAAATTGTTAAACTTTCTCTGTTATATTCTTTATCTAGATGTATCAATAACATTTAGAGTTGAACTCCTCTTTCATTTTCTGTTTTGGCTTACCTCTGTACCCTATCCAGTGCTATAAACCAAGAGCAGTGTGACTGTAGAAGAGCATATTGTCAAAGTAGATTTTGAATGTAGTGGAAGTAGCTTTTTTCTCCTGCTTCTTAATGTATAAGTTGGGAAAATCCCATTTCTTACAGATGTGTGATGAATGAATGTAAAAAAAAATAATTGTTAGGGTAAAAGGAGGCATCATCTCAGCTGACTTGTTTGGTTCTAAGGATGTGACAAGAGAGTTTTTTCAAAAAAGGAACAGATGAAGCCCCTTGCCAGAACTAGCCCCTTAGCAATTAGACTATCATCTTGTACTTGTGCAAATCAATCAAGAAGGGATGATTTTGCTTCCCAGAAATGAATATCGCTTATGTTTGACACCTCTCAAGCAGTCAGTAAGACCAAATGTTTGAAAGTATCCAGTCCACAGGATGTGGGGCCTTGCAGCTGAGCAGAGTGGCATTTGCGTCTCATCACCAGTAGCCAAGATTGAAAGTAGTGTGCCAGAAGTGTCCTGGGTGAAGATCTTTTCTTCTGGTCATATGCATTTGTGCAAAAGTTAAAGGCGAAGTCAGTATTCACATGACAGTAGGGAGGCTTGGTTAAAAGCCTTTTCTGCACAATGGAAATAACAGTTTCTGGTACTGGAGTCAGCAACAGCTTTTCACACTTCCATTGAAGCTGAAGTTTAAAACTGCTTGCAGTGAATGCAAAGCAAAACAACACATGCTGTCAGCATCCCCCATTTGCAGCATGAATAAGAGCAAAGTCAAAGGTTATGTGTAGATGCATTATGCCATGTTTAAGATGGAATTTGCCTGTATGTGATGATTGAATGATATCACCCTTTGGTGGAGTCTTCCAGACTCCAAAGAGTGGTATCTATCATAGCTACCATCTCAGGAAACTGTCATCTGTGTTTGTGATACCTTAAATTTGGAAGAAATCTTGCCTCCATTGATTTTATATTAAGAACATAATCATGAAATTGTATGAATTGAGTTGACTGTAATTCAAGAGCACCTATTATTTGGATCTGTCAGTCCATACAGTGACTGGAAATCATCTATGCCTGGGTTAGCACAACAGTGGGAGGGATTCATTTTGCCCAGGTGCAGCATCAGACCTAAACAAGTCATCCAAATTCTTTTTAAAATGAGAATGAGAGCTATCTCTGTGGGGTGATTCATCCCACCTACCCAGGAAAATGGTGAATCATCCTCTGGAAGTGTATATGTGTCATCGCTGACTACACATAGAACCTGGGCAACGAGGTGAGATCAAATACCTGCCTCCTACGCAGATTAAGTTAGGTGAGATAAAACCCTTCCCACAAGTGCTCTTAAGCAATCTTGGGTTATTGATATGGCTGGCAATGAAATCTAAATCTCAAACTAGATTACCTTGTCTCTTTCGTTGTGGTACGCCATACATGTGAGGTCTTGAAAGATTTATCCTATTAATGTAAATGTACTTGAATTAGATGATTCCAGTAGCAAATTCAAATCATCAGTTAGCCTGCGGTATATATTTGTAAGTAATTCACTTTTCCCCTACACTTATTGCTAGCAGTTCATAGAAGCCTACCTCACACTGTAATTTCACCCAATGGAAAAGCAGCCCTACATCCTGGTCTTTTGAATTTCTATGCTTTTGACTATTTTGCACAATCTGTCCTCGTGATGATGGAAATTTGGAAGTTTAGCAGTAGCAAAGCAAGTATAGTAACAAGTATTGTCTCATTCTCAACAAATCACATACATTCGAGCTATTTTTACTTATGTTTCTTATATGCATTCCACCACTCACCAAATACTGACCTGAAGTCTGTCCTTTGCCAGCATAAGCTTTTTTTTTCTTTGTGTTCCCACTCTCACTGGTTATTTTTGTGACTATAAGACTATGAAGACTGTAAGAATCTGACTGTATCAGATTCATTAGAGGATGATGCTCTTCTGTATTTGCCAGTATTGTTGCTCTTAGTTTTCAGTAAACATGCTAGTCATCAGAACTGGAATATTTAGATAACGGTAATTTTCTGTTGACAATGATTTACACTGTATGAAAGATTGTTTATTCATTCTGACTATTTTGTTTTTTAGGAGTGGACTTAATCAATGTTATAACATGCAAAATCCATCCACACATGAGGAAAAGAGCCCTCTTGTAAGTATGGTAAATATAAGCTATTGCTGTTAGGGATGTATCATCAGGTGATTAATCAATAATGCAACTGGAAAGAATACCTGAGGACTTAGTATAATACTTTTCCAAGTCTCAGTAGTATATAGATAAAAATCACTTCAGGAAAAAAAGTGTTTTCCTCCTCTTCGAACTTCTCAAAGATTGAGCCTTTTTAAGGATGTCATCATCTATAGAGATTCTGGCTAAAAAAATCGGACTCTTATACCTAACTGCTGTTTGACTGTAACTATAAGAGCATAGCAATTATTCTCCAATAAAATATTTATCGGATTTAGGGGAAGGGGCTGTGGCATCCTGCCTGAATCTCTGACAGCATGTTTTATAGCTGTCATTTCATTAGGTGCTTAGGTTTAATGAACTTACAAACCACTAAATATCAAATTACATACAGAACAAATCAAAGAAGAGCTGTTGCTGAAAGAAGGAAAGTAAAATAGAAGAATAGAAGGACTTTGAAACTGGCAAGGAGCTCTGATGGAAGTTATATTTGACCAGATCTTAGGATGTTCGGTGCTAAACCAGAAATACCAATGATTCTCTAGCTACTTTACCACTTAAACACTGAAAGAAAAAGAAAAAAGAACTTTTTTGCTGTGAATGATCAAACTCTGGAACAAACAAGTTACCCAGAGAGGGTATGGAATCTCCTGAAACACTGGAGAAAAGCATGGATGCTGCTGCGTGCTACATCAGCAGTCATCCTCTTTTGCTTTTTCTTTATATCACCATCCTGGAATGTCAGCTTCACTCTGGCCTTGGAAGGTTTTATTTGTAGTTTTCTGTATCCCTCTCTCATGGCTGTAGGACCTAGAAAAAGACAGTTTGCTGACACTAACAACACTTCCTGCCCTTTTGTTCCATGTTCTGCCGAGGCATTGTCCCTTTGTCCTAATCCCTTGTCCTACCTCTGCAGACAGCAGGGGCCCCGTCTGATGAATTTACTTATGTTTCCCGGGGATTATGAAAACCAGGAAACTTCATTAAGGATGATTTAATAACTTAGACAAAGGAGAAGAGCAGCTGGTCTGTTAACGAGTCTCTCAACCCCCATTCTCTGACAGAGGAGCCTTTCTTACGGGTGGTGCAGTCTTCAACAGTTTGCAGTAAAATGCTCCAGATATATGATTTATACATATTGAGTTATAGAGCATTGGGTCTGCCTTGAGCTCTTCTTTTGGATGACTTGAGGCAGTCTTATGGCTGTTAAGTTTGCTGCTGTTAAGACGAGCAGTAACTAATAGTAGCCTAATATCCTAGTGTATGTTTTTGCTCTCTTTATTGCTTAGTGTGGTAATGTTAGAGGAATAGCAATTGGAGACAACCTGCTGCACTCTCCTGCTCTGTAAAACAAACATCAGTAAAGCCAAGCAGCAAGAAAAGGCTTCTTCATGACAAAATGACAGCAAGAGAACACAGTCCCCGCCATGGTGCAAAATCCCGCACCGTGCAACGGGCCTCCACCATTGATGTCACCTCAGACATGCTAGGCCTTTCTTTAGCAGGTAAGTACTTTCATGTCAGCTATTGTTTATTGCCCTTTCAGAATATACCTTCTACTAACATTACTGTTTTGGGTTTTTTTGTTTCCATTGCTAGATTTAGGTGTGCATGGAGTGAACGGGAAAAAGGAATTGTATTGAAAATATAAGCTTAAAATTGCCATTTTTAAAACAGACAAAGTATTAAAATTGAATAGGGAAGGAAAAAAAAACCACTAGATTTTGTATAGTTATGTTTATCAGTGGAAGATAAGAGAGGGGAAAAAAAACCCAAAAAATGTGAAGGTTATCTAGGCAACTTCCTAGTTTGACACTGTATACAATTTTCAAGAGAGTTTAGGAAACTGAAATTTACCTCCATTTTTTTATGTTGAGTAAATTAGCACTGTAATCCCTGGGGTCTTCATTTGATTAGTGAGAGAGGCAGGTATTTTCCAGCTTCTCCTTGTTCACTGATCACAGAGGAGATATATCTGATTTAATAATTTGGAGCTAATAGTGGCTCAGACGCTAAATGACTGTAATCCTCTTGTTTTCCACTGAGATTTAGTATTTTGTATTTTCATGTTCTATATAATCTTGCCTGGTTTTGCATATTTTAGTCATTGTCTGAACGTTTTTTGAATTAGATAATCTCAATATTTAAAATCATTTTTAAGAACCGAAGATTACCTAATGAATATATTAAATATTCATGGCTGATTAAATGAAAAAGGTTAATGTTTTCTATCAAATTTCATTTCTTCCTCTGTAACCGTAACTTCTGGGACAGGTTCAAAACAATGCTTCAGTAATTTTGTGTTTTCTCGTTTATAGGGAATATTCAAGATCCAGATGAGCCGATTTTAGAGTTCAGTTTAGGTGGGTTTAGTGTTTTTTTTATCTTTGTGAAAATACTGTGAAACAGTCTTCTGTCTCAGTGTACCAACAGTATGTCTTCAAGCAAACTGAGCATTAGGTGGAAATACCATTTTAAGATGGAGTATTTTCTAAAAGTTACCAACTATTACCAATACCTTCTTTCCTGGGGTCTTTGCTGTCATGTGATAACATGAGATTCATCAGTGACCTAATTTCAGAGGTGCTTAATAAGATATTTGTGTGTTGGTTTGCCTCGCTTGAAGAATAAGTGAGAAACATTTTCCTCATTAAAATTCTATCCACATTTTTAACTGCAGCATGATTTTCTTGGCCTGATTGTGCTTGGATGTTTGGAAGTTTTTGCTCTTACCAATATGTTTGAAATGAAAATTAAAAGATATATATATATATATACCTCAGATGTGTGTAATTGTGTTATGGATAGTAATCTTAACTAGAATATCTCAGAACTCAGTAAGATATTTTAAATATTTTTCAGATGAATTAGAAACTACCCAGAGCTTCAAAGCTGTTCAGTGTACATTTAAACTCAAAATTAACTTGCAAATTTAGCTGAAGCAGAACTGAACCAGCTGCATCCAAGTAGATAGAATTTAGCTCTGAATTTCAACATAGTTGTGCAGAGTCTCTGAATGGAAATTTTGGTAGTTGTTTCCTAGTCACTGTAGTCCCTTCCCAGCAATTAATATCTCAGAATCATGGTAGAGGACATAAATTGCTGTTCTTTTGCAATTGCAAGCTACTTCTATGCATAGTAATACTACTTGATCAACATTCAAGGACAGCATCCATGGCAAAACACCATTTGGTAATGGGTTTAATGGAGCGTAACTTCAGATCAAATGCAGCCATGGTCATACTATTCCCAGTGGAACATCTCTGCATGTAGGCTGTTCTAATGAGCTGTGCCAGAGGGATGGATGTGCAAGTGTTAGAGGAGAACAAAATTTAAATTACGGTTTTCCAGCTTGAAGTGAGAGTGATCTGATTTTATGTTCACTCTTTGCTTGCACAGAGGTGAGAGATGTCTGCCTTTATAGTGTATTGGTAGACCGAATGCTAGGCTCTTTATGGCTTTATTGCTCAAGGTCTATTACATGCTTCAAAAAGTGTAAAGTCTTACAGCAGCATGAAAAAGACTATGAATCTAAATGTGTTTTTCTGTTACGTCCTTAAAGCTTGCAGCGAGCTGCTAACGCCATCACTAGATCGAAAACCAAATAGTTTTGTAGCGGTGAGTGTAACTACACCTCCTCAGGCATTCTGGACGAAGCATGCACAGACAGAAATTATTGAGGTAAGTGGTAAGGTATTAAATTTAAAATGGAAGCTAACGCAAGAAGCATTACCTCCTAATAAATACCACCTCGCGTTATTTTCTGCCTTTTTTTGTTTATTATTACAGGGAACAAGTAATCCTATCTTCCTAAGCAGCATTGCCTTTTTCCAAGACTCTCTTATCAATCAAATGACACAAATCAAACTCTCCGTGTACGACGTTAAAGATAGATCTCAGGGAACAGTAAGTATTCTTCATTTTGTTGCCTGCCCAGTGAGTGTGGAGCAAGCAAATGAGAAGCGATGAGATAAAACTAGCGAGCTTTGTGGCAGAAGGAAAGAGGTAGCAGCATTGATCCTAGAGAAAATAAGATGGACAGGAGAGGAGGAATGAATACTGCTGGATGGACTGAACAGAGTGGGGAATGTTGCTGTGGGGGCTGCTCCAAAAGTAATGCATCCTATTTTATTGTATTGACCCACAATGTCAGTGGTGAAAGTTGGTGGTGTGGCAGAGGTTGAACTTTCCCAGCAATATTCCTTTACATTTTGTTGCTGTGCAACAGATGGCAGCAGAGGGACAGTCTGACAGAATGGCGTCTGACACTGAACTGTGTATGAAGCAAAGGTGTGTTGTTGAATTCCTTCATGTGGAAAAAATGGCACGTATTGACATTTGACACTTGCTGGGTGTGGATGGTGACCAAACAGTGGATATGAGCACAGTGAGGCAGTGGGTGGTGAATTTCAGCAGCGGCAACGGTGACAGTGGCTCACCTTTCCTGGTGTGGGTTTTTATGAGCACAGCGTGCAGGCTCTTGTTCATTGCTGGTGAAAGTGCATAGCTAATAGTAGTGACTGTGTTGGATGAGAATGTTTTGTAGCTGGGAATTCGCCCAATAGAGTAATGTTATTGTGCTCTTTGTATCTATTGTAGTTTCCATGGAAATAAAAAAGAGGCATTACTTTCAGAGCATCTTATGTGATTTTCTCAAATAAGTCTTGTCTGCAGCAAGATTGCCCTTAACTTAGTTACAGTCATTTTCTTCTGGAAGATGGCAATGCGGATAACAGAAGCAAAAAAACATTCTAGGGAAGAATATTTTTGCTTTGCTCTTAATAATTCCCCTGTCCTTATCTTTTAGTCATTCTGTTCAGAAGTAAGATTTGCTGCCTTATAGAAAAAAATATCCAAAATATCCAAGCCAGCTCTCCCTTGTAATTGCTTGGGTCAGTTGGCAGTTCAGGTCATTTATGCTCAGGCAGTTGCCCAAAATACTAATTCAGGCTCAATGTCTTGCTTTCTCATGCTTTCTCAGAAGCAGCAGAGCTGTCCTCCTCTGTATTGTACTTCATGGGGAGGATCTGAGGAGAAAAAGAGTACCTCCTGAAGAGGTGCATTTGTTGCAAGGAGCAAAGTTTGGATCAAGGAGGGACTAAGTAGTGCTGACCTAGTCAATCTGAGTTCCATTCAGTCATTGCTTTCGGTGTTCCTGTATCACAGTGACTAAACTTGTATGTTTTGTGATGCTTTCTCTTAAATCTTAGGGAAAGAAAAGAGCTTATTGTCCACAAGTGGAAAAATTATTTATAATAAATTACACGTAAACTCCTTACGTTTCAAAAGTTTTTTACTTGTTATATATGCACATTATGAAATTAGAAGTAATTTAGGACTAGAGGGAATGGCCTCAAACTGCACCAGGCTGGACGTAAGGAAATACTACTTCTCTGAAAGAGTGGTCAGGCACTGGAATGGGCTGCCCAGGGAGGTGGTGGAGTCACCGACCCTGGAGGTATTCAAGAAATGTTTAGACCATGTGTTTAGAGACACGGTTTAGTGAGAACTATTGGTGATAGGCAGATGGTTGGAATGGATGATCTTGTAGGTCTTTTATAACGTTGTTGATTCTATGATTCTATGATTTTTGTCTTCTTGCTTTCATGGAATCATAGAATGGTTTGGGTTGGAAGGAACCTCAAAGCCTACCCAGCTCTAACCCCCTGCTGTGGGCAGGGCTCATGCTGCCTGGGGCCCCATCCAGCCTGGCCTTGAGTGCTTCTAGGAATGGAGCACCCACAGCTTCTCTGGGCAGCCTGTGCCAGGGCCTTACTACCCGTTGGGTGAAAAATTTCCTCCTAATATCTAATTTAAATCTCCCCTCTTTCAGTTTAAAACCATTTCCCCTTGTCCTATCACTCATGTAAAAGGTCAGTCTCCCTTCTGTTTGTAAGTATTGGAAGGCTTCTATGAGGTCTCATAGAGGCTACTCTTCTCCAGGCTGAACAAACCCAGCTCCCTCAGCTGTTCTTCTTAGAGAGGTATTCCAGCCCTCTCATTACTTTTGTGGCCCCTCTCCAACAGCTTCACATTTTTCTTGTGCTGAAGGCACCAGGTTTGGCCTCACTTCTCCAGCTGGGGCCTCACGAGGGCAGAGCAGAGGGGAACAATCCCCTCCCTCTCCCTACTGGCCATCCCTCTGTTGATGCAACCCAGGATACAGTTGGCCTTCTGAACTGCAAGTGCACACTGCTGGTCCATGACCAGCTTTCTGTCCACAAGGAGCTTCAACTCCTTCTCCTGAGAGAAGGAGCTGCTCTCAATGGGTTCTTCTCCCAGTCTGTACACATATCTGGGGATTACTGGGGATTAAACTCTTGCATTTGACCTCATTGAATCTCAAAGACATTTCTGCCTAGTAATTTTATTTTGCACTTCAGTGCTGTGGACAAAGGCTTTGTTTGTTGCAAAGTAAATAATAACTAAGTAATAAACAGCTCTGCTAATCATCTTCTTTCCAGATGTATCTGTTGGGTTCTGGGATGTTCACTGTAAAAGAACTTCTACAAGAGAAGAATCACAGGTTGCACTTAACACTAAGGTTTGTAATGTTTTTCTCTGTTTAGAAATTATCAGTTTTAACACATGATTAAGATGTAGTGTAAGTTGTCTGTGAGACAGGATGAAAACTTTGTTTTTATTTTCTTCTTTTTTAAGTTGTAGGCTACTATTAAGGAAAAAAAAAGATTTTGTGTTGCATGATAGTTAAAATTTGTGGAATGAGTTTCAAATATGATGAATTGTGTTAGATATTGTCTCTAAAAATATTATTAAAATCTATCTAACAATATTATTAAGGCCAGTTTCATTTTTTTCACTTTGTCCTACCAGCTCATCATATGTATGTGCTTTATTTTTCTCATGTTATTAATATTGGAAGCTTTTGTGGAAAGAGCATGTCTCAGGAGGGAGTGAAAAAAAGAGAGTGGGAGTCTGAAAACTGATCCAAAAGGGAATATGTGAAATCCAGTGTGCAATGAAGTGGAGACTTGGAGAAGAATGAGGACAGCAGAATGGCATTGAGAGTTATGATGTGTAAAAGTGCATTGTAGTAATGTGTATTAAAAGCAGAGCAGGAATCCTTGTCACAGAAGACAAGGAAAAATCATCAAGAAGCATCATAGGAGAGACTGAAGAAGACAGCACTTGCAGTGTAAACATTATCAGCACTAGAATTACTTAACCCGGACACAGCTAACCAAAACATGAACGTGAACAAAGTTGTTTATGCTAAGAGGAGAGATGAGTAAAGTTCAGGGCTTTTTCTGCAATGTGTTGTAAAAAAAAAACAAAACAAAACAAAAACAAAAACAAACTAGCATAATTTAACAGGGGGAGCAGATGAAGGAAGTGAGTGAGAATACCAGATACCAGGGGTATAATGAGTGAAATAGTTTAATTTATCGTAAGTGTGAAGATAAGGGTGAAAAAGAGGAAGAACGTGAGGGTAGCAGTTTCATGTTTGTGTGATAAATGTGGCTGTTTTTTAGATTTATTCTTTCGTGACAGAGTTGAAAATGGGCTTTCATAACTGCTTGTTTTGATATCAGATGTATTCTTATTATAACAGTCTGTGATGCATACAAGTCTTTCAGTTGTTGCATTATTCTTCAGATGTATTAGCTGAATGCTAAGCAGTGTCTGTAAACACACTGGAGTTGGATATTTAGACCTTTTACTGTAGTCTTGTATGTTTATTTCGTTTGCCACTCCAGTGTTGTCTTTTCCAGGGATTTATTGTTATTGTTATTATTTATCTTGGTTTTCGCAGCGTATTTTAAAACATAAACAATCTTAATATACCATTCAGAATCTATCTTCAATTGATAGTATAGATCTTTGCCAAAATTATTTTGTGTCATGGGACATGAGACAGCAGAAATGGCAGCAGTGGTACAACTGGTCCTGTTCTTGTTTTGTTTTGTTTTGTTTTCGAGAACCAGCAAGGTTGGAACTTTTGCTATACTGTATTCTCATACTCCCTCCCACTCTCCATCCCTTCCTCCTCCTCAGACATGTGTTCATATGGACTCAACATCCATCCCCACCAGCAAGATTGCTGCTGACCTGGAAGGGTCAGGAACAAAGTTGTATCAGTTCTTGCTGTGCAGCTGCTCAGATGCTAGTGACCAAGGTCCCTGGATGTTCTTGGCACTTGCTTCCGTGCACCTCTCTGATGCCTGGAATTATCTCCCACTTCAGTGTTCCTTCTTCCATTGAGGATCTTAACATTGTTGACCAGCTAGCAGTGCTGTGCCTGATGAGCTCCAGGATGTTCACAATATATATATATATATTTTTTTTTTCACTATGACAAACTAATTCCTCCTTCTAGTTTTACAGAAGTATGGAGGCACACACATAGTTTTAGATTGTCTTCTATTAGGAGATCTGTACAATATATCCCTAAGCAACGAGGACAGCATTTTCTTATTTGTTTTGTATTTGTAAGATCATGTAAAATTAAGTTGCAAAGATTCCTATTGAAAATGTTTATGAAATTCAAAGATTAATAGTCTTTTATAAGTGTTCCCTTGTTGATAAACAGGTCCACCTCCAAAAAAATTTCAACGCAGAGTATTTGTTGCAGGTCTGCTGAAAGTGACCGTGTAGGTAACATTACAGTTATTGGATGGCAAATGGAGGAAAAAACTGACCAAAGGCCTCCAGTGACAAGGTCACCTGATACAATTAATGGAAGGGTGAGTATAACCATTATAGCAGCTTCAGAAACATACAGATTTATTGCCTGCATTGAAATAAACTGTGTTGAGATCTGCTGTCAACTTTCCTGTCCGTTTTGTTATTTATTAGTGTTTTCCAATTTCAAAGTATTGTGAGGAGCAGCCTAATGGAGCTCTTGTTGCTCATATTTGGGATTAAAATCTTGGGAAAAGTTTACAGTGATTGAGCTTTCACTTGTTTATGTGTTTATGGCTTTCATCAGAGTAGGTTTGTAGTACTGTTAGCATACCTACCACATTGGTGAAGTCATAAGCAGTTTCAGTTCTGGAACTTTCACAGGCAGCTGTATTTAAAAGAAATACCTTAAAGGATGTTAATTGAACTGTTACTTTAATATTGACTTTTTTGTGTGATCTGCTCAAAAAGGCTGAGTACAGGTATAGGGATTTCTCAACCTAGACATATGCTTAAGTCTATAAATGTTGCGTGCAGAAGATACTGGTGATAATTGCAGCCATACCCATGTATCACAGTCACAATGTGTATTAGGATCAGTTTGTATCAGGTTGAACCTGTAATGGGCATAAATTGGAGTACATATTGCTGGAGCAGCTTTGAAGATTGTGAGGTACAATAACATGAAGTAATTGAAGGACTGGATAAAATTTACTACGACGTTTCGGACTGTGTAGTAGAATTAAATAAGAGTGCTTGAACTGGAGTGTTTAAGTGGATTTATTATTTCAACCAATGATAGATTTTGTCCACAGAAAATGTATGTGTAATATTTTTTTAAACATAGATTTTAAATATACTTTGTGTTGAGTGTTCCCATCAAGTCTGTCTAGAAGGGTCATCACTGCACGTTACCGCACGTTACTACACGTTACTGCACTGAGTTTTTCTTTTTTTCTTTCTTTTTTTTTTAGACTGTGTTACCAGTTGATGAAAGTTTAACAGAATCTTTAGGAATCAGATCCAAATATGCTTCATTACGGAAGGATGCACTACTGAAATCTGGTAAGCAGTGGGCTGTAACAAGTAGGATTTCAGTGTCTGTAAAAGCAAAGCTTCTTGCTCTCTGCTTTTAGCCCAAGGCATTTAAGCAGATGTTTTGCTGGAATGGGAACAGGGTACTGACAGAGCAGCCATTTAGGGATTGTGCAAGAACAAATTATTTTATCATCTGCACTATCGTTTTGCATAGTAAAAGCAGCAGAAGCAAACTTTCCTCATTACATTGGCTGTGCCATAAAGTTTTCCTTGTAATTTACCATTGATAAGCAGGGTTGGTGTACTTTTTTTGACAGAGGGGAAGAGGAAATAGAGAAAAACAGTTGTTCAAAAGATTTTCTTTTTCTTGAAGAAAGATGAGTTTTCCAGCAAATGATTGCATGAGAGGAAAATGCACAGTATGTAATAGAAGGATTTCAGAAGTTGAATCTGTGTTGTATTTCCTTAATGGTGTTTTAAATCATTTGGAAGCTTGTCATGTGAGTGTTAGTAGAGGGCTCACTGCAGAACATGCATCCTTGGAAAAGCTGGGCTGATGCCAGATCTGTATATCAGTGTGTTACAGCATGTCAGTGAATGCAATCCACTCACTTAAAGCAAACAAACAAACAAACTGAATAGATCTTGTACACTTTTGTCTTAAACCCTATGCATAAATAACATGGTTTTAATTCCTCAGTGTTTGGTGGTGCCATTTGCCGGATGTACCGTTTCCCCACCACTGATGGAAACCACCTGAGAATCTTGGAGCAAATGGCTGAGAGCGTGCTGTCATTGCACATACCCAGGCAATTTGTGAAGCTTCTTCTAGAAGAAGATGCAGCAAGGTGAGCACATGCTGGTTTGCACAGGCAGTCACACAGCAGGGATGTGGCTGCTACTGAGTTCCCAAGGAATATGTAATATTGTAATATTTTTTTACATACTACATATGTGATATGTAATATTCCTTGGTAATATATGTAATGTAACGGTGTTAAAGCACGGAGGCACTAAAGGAAAAATAAAACAAGCAGCTCCTTGCTGATTGAGCTGTTACAGCAAACAAGATTTTATGATGTCAGCATGTGGGGGCTGGGCTCCAGTGTGAGATAACATGAGTGTAAAGGTGTGCTGATAGGAGAGAACTGTTGGCAGAATAAACAATTAGGATCATTCTGCCGTCATCTGCACGTAGCAGCTATCTGTTGCTTTTGAAGCATTCGTCACTCTTCAAGGCAGCATACTCATTTATTAGATTTATTTCCCTGCAGTTGTAGGCCATGGTTTGCAGAGGGTCATTAGGAGTGGTTTATGTGTTCTTTAAAAACAAAAACAGAATTTCTTTAGGGATGGTAAAAGAATTTTAATCTTATTTTTGAGTATTTGGCTTTAACTTTAGCTATGTTTGAATGCCCCTTTTAGAGGCCTAATTAAGCCTGACTTTAACTAAAAATAAAGGTATTTAGTGGTCTCAGTGTCCTATATTAACACATTTCTCTCCTTTGGGATACTGTGAAAGAAAATCAATTGTTAATCCATATGAGCAGGCAGAAATAGTCTGCAATGGAGGCAGGTATTTTTTTGTTTTGCAAAACTCATGACTTTTCACAAGAAGATGACAGTGAGAGCTGTCATCTATGGAAAAAAAAATTCTGCATGATGACAGAGTTTCTAACATCTATGGGGATTCTATATGCTGTTTTGTTTTTTAGAAATGTGTACTTGCTAAGCAGTAAGGTCAGTTGTGTTAGGGCCTTTAAGGCCTAAGACTTGTAGGAAAAGAATGATCTGTCTTGCATAGCTATCTTGCTACACTTGTGGTGGAGAGGCCTTGGGATGCACCATTACATGTTTAGGTATGAGTTATTCATTGTTTATTTTGTATCTTTGGTTCTCTACAGCTTTCCTCACAATACATTCAGAAGCTTTTCTTCATTATGACATACAGCTAAGATAATGTAAACATTTACCAAGCTTACCCATAAGGTGCCATCTGGGATAAATGTGATTTAAGATCTTGAAGATAATAAACGGAAAATTTAGATGAATGGGGAAAATAGATGTGGCTTGTTGTAAGAATGTGAAGTGAAGTTCCTAAAAGCCTTAACCATAAAAAGTGACTGCTCAGAGGCCTTGCTAAAGTCATACAGTGATCTGTAGATGCATACTGCATACAATTCCAGCTTACTAACAGCCCATGTGATGGCTAACGTGAACTCTGTATTCTCTGAGTTGCGTGGCTGAAAGGTAAATACCTCTTCCGTGTAATCTCCAAGAAAGATTTCTATTGCTCAGTTCAGCTGAGATAAACCGCAGTGACATGCAGAATTCTTTTCTGCCCGTGCTTTAATGTTTCTAACTGAACAATTGTTTTTCTTTAAGGTCTGTTACTGTTACGTTAGTGCTGAAGTAGTGCCCTGTTTTGATACAGTGTAGGAAATGACACATTTGAATACAAACTGTATTCAGATGGATATCTCAGATTTTCCTCCATTTGCTGTGTTGTAGCCCAGAGGAATGCTGAGCAGCTACACAGGCCCAGCTGCTCCTGTCTTAACAATATGGTAACTTGTAAAATGCCTTTGTATTAATTACAGCTGTTGTCTCTTATGTAAAACTGCTCTGGCCCAAAACTCTTTGAAAGGGAACATCTTACCAGGGGGATATTTTGACTACCTACTTGTTTATGACATGCACATCCCCTGCTGTCTTAGCCACGTAGAATAAACAAGGAAACAAAGTTTTAAGCTGTGAATTTGCTTTAGGAAGACATGGGCTCAAATGCCTGGTGTGCTTTGAGAAGGGAACTTGACTAGGTGGTCACAGAAACAGTTTACAAGATTAAATAAGAAATATCTTTTTCCAAATCATTGATACGTACAGTTTACATTGTTGCATGTTGGAAAATCAATCTGAAGCTTTTTTTGGAAGTTTGCCTGGTGTTAATTCGGTCCTACCTACTGTAGAGTAGAAATTATTCTGCCAAATGCTCCCTCAAAATATATAAAAACAAACGGTTAAAGCTGTGGGTTAGGGGTATTGAGAATCAGCAGCAAAAAATCTTCTGAATCTTTTTGACAGATGATTGTTCTACATTTTCTTTGGTGATGTTCTGTTGAATTCTCCTAGCCAGGAGCTTTTCTGTTCAGATCGGGGGGTATTCAGTCATCCTGTATTCCACCTAAAGTGAACCTGCAGATTAAGACTTTGTTAGGTGACCTTTTGTCTTTCCAAAACCTTATTGATGCTTTCACTTCTTAAGTCTTCCATGCCTGACCTTAAAAACCTGTCCTGTAGATGATCTGGCCAGCTGAGATAGTAATTGTAGTGTTGGGTGTTGATCTCCCAGCTAAGGTCTCTCACAGTTGTGATTTAGTTAGAGAGCCACCAAAGTTCTGTGGAGTGGATCTTCATAGTCCCAAGTCACCTGACACAATGGCAGTGCCCACCATTTGCAAATCATCAAATTGTCTGAGGGCTTCTGCCCTCAGACAGCTTTGGAAAGCTGTGGAAAGCTTTGGTTTTCACTAAAACCTGGAGTTCTTGGGGTACGGTGTGTTCTGCTTGAAAAGAACATCAATTCCCTGGGAGAGGGCTCAACAGCAATGCTTTGGGACATATTTGGGAGTGCTTTCCCAGTCTGGTGACTAGGCTAGACAGGAGTGAGTTCAGAATGCATGAGAATGGTGCTACACTGCTGTAGTGTGAAACTTAGTCAACTGGACAATGGAGCTCAACCTCTTTTTTTTTTTTTCTTTCTTTCTTCTTCTTTCCCTAGGGTTTGTGAACTAGAAGAACTGGGAGAATTATCTCCTTGTTGGGAAAGCCTTCGGCGACAAATAGTTACTCAGTACCAAACAATTATTTTAACTTATCAGGAAAATCTAACTGATCTGCATCAATACAAAGGTCAGCAAGATTTATTTTTTATAATAAAATGACACTTCCCAATTGTGCTTGTTAGTGAGTAAAAAAAACAATAATTACTATTTTTAGATTATATTTATTTATTAATGATTGTTACAAGGTTGATAATGATCTAGAAATATTTGTCTGCTCTCTCTGTTAATCCTCTTATTTTACCTGAATGTATAGTAGAATTATGAACAATAACAAAAAGACCCCTCTTCTTGTATGTTTTTTCTTTGCTTTTCTTTTAGCATGTTGCAAGTGATGAATGAAACCCTTTGAATATTTTAGCTTAAGCAGACGGACAGTTTTTATACAGTCTTTTTTCTGATTTCTTAGGTCCTTCATTTAAAGCCAGTAGCTTGAAAGCTGACAAAAAGTTGGAATTTGTTCCTACAAATTTACATATACAGAGAATGAGAGTCCAGGATGATGGAGGATCAGGTACTTGCTTTTTTCTTTCTTTCTTCACTTTGTTCTGTTTCTTTTTTCATTTTTCATAGCCAAGTTCCCACAAGCTGCTGTTCTGTGTTATTAATGCTACTTGGCATTTGTATAGCACCTTCTACTTTGAATTCCAAATCTCTTTGTAAAAAGAGGTGTTGGTATAGTTATCCTTGTTCTACAGGGTCCCTTGATTTGTGTCAGAATAGTAGAGATACTGTTTCTTGCTTATTGTTAAATTTGTGAATTTTTTCTCAGGAGCCATCATAAAGGGTAATGCAAAATCACACCAGTTTGTTCACATCAAACTTTTTTCTTCGTAAATAACCTAAGTTATTTCTTCTTTTGGCAGTAATTCCCACTAACCATGGGCATACACTCGTTCTGTGTATCAATGTTAGGGATTCCACTAGTGGCAAGTTTGGTGGAAAGGCCAACTCAGTCAGACAAACTTGTAGATCAACAAGTGAAGGACCTGCATTCAAGTAGGGTTCTTTCAACTCAGAAGTACCTGATGAATTTCCAGAGCTAAATGATACAGTTTTATATATCCTTCAAAACACTGGCATGAAGCTTTAGATAATTACTTTCAGAATAGTTTTGGAATTTCCACAACTGTTTGCATAAAGATCACAAGCTTTCATTTGTAAGTCCTTTTTGTCCATCCCAGATCAGAACTACGATATAGTCACCATAGGAGCACCAGCAGCTCATTGCCAAGGCTTCAAATCAGGTGGCTTGAGGAAAAAGCTGCATAAATTTGAAGAGGCAAAGAAACAGTAAGTAGAAATGTTGTTGTGTCAGCTGATGTCATGTCCTTTCCTGACAGTCTGTGCTCAGTGATTTGAAAAAGCATTCCATTCTTTGTTTTTCTTGCACCTCACTCAGTGGTTCTACTATACACTGTAAAGTTTATTCTGTATTTTCTTCCGAAGGGAAGAGGAGAAACAATTTCCCCTGTACTTTACTCTATTTCTTTACTGATAGGTCTTTTCTAGTAGTTCTCTCATCCTGCTAGAGTGATCCTGCTACCCTATAGTGTCGCTCTGGGGGGGAAATTTTCCTCCACCGGTACTCATTTAAAAGACGATTAACAGTTGTGTAGCAATTTACTCCTATTTATCTTAAAAGTAAGAAGGCCCAAATAACATAGCTATCCCGATAATCATAGTAGGCTTTTGATGCAGTGGAATAGAGAATCAGGCATCCCATTTTATCCAGTCAGTTCAAGTAGACATTTCCGTCTTGGAGCATTTGCTACAAGGGAATACAGAAATATATGCTATTTAGGAATATAGAAATCTTCCAAAAAAATGGTCTGATGTTTGAGACTATCATAAATGCATTGTGAAAGACATTGTGCTCTATAAATGAAACCTACTGTCATGTATAAAACCACTCCTGTGGGCCACCAGCAATTCAGCTCCCTTGGGAGATGAACTTGAAGTACTACTTTGAGGATATGCATTTCTTCGTAGCTGTAGTATAAAATAGGTTCTTAAGATCTCCCTGGTTCTTCTATTTTATCATAAAATCCAGTATAGTAGAATTGAGTTCCATCTCCTCAGTTTCACTGTTACACAGATATTGTTCAGTTCTTTCTCCTTTCTTTGGCAAAATTGCACGTACTGCATCCACAACATTTCCCAAGAACAACACATGGTCATCTGGCAATCTGTGTTTTTTGGTTACAAGTTTAATCGTATGTACCTTCATTGTTGAAAAGATGACTCAAATATGTTATTCCCCACAAACATTTGTTTTGTTTTCTGCTTCTGGTATTTGCTAACAATCTGCTAATTTTATTTTGGTTTTTTGTTTTTTTTAGCAGTTATGAGGAGTGTTGGTGAGTTTTCTGTTTCTGAGAGTTCTGTAGAGAGGGCTTCTGTTCTTTGGGTTGTTTTCTTTTTCTTTTCCTTCTTTTCTTTGGCAAAGGTGTGGTGTGTTTTAATGTGTGCAGGGCTTTTTTAATGTCATGCATCATGGCATCCCTAATTGTGCTCTAAATAATCATAGCTGCTTTGTAGAACATACATGAAGGAACTTCCTTTCATCTGCAATGTTTGTTTATAATGAGCAGCTTCCTGGATCTCTCTAAGCATGCTAGAAAGCTAAGAGCAGAACATGAAAATTTTGCGTCTTTGCCTCTGTTATTTCCAGTGCAAGTCACTTAGAGAAATCAGAATCACAGAATGGCCTGGCTTGAAAAGGACCATTATGATCATCTAGTTTCAACCCCCCTGCCATGTGCAGGGTCACCAACCAAATCTTCTGCCAGTGGTCCTTGAACCTTTGTAGTTGTAGATTGGGCATGGTTTATATTTTTTGTAATCTATGTCTGCATGTTATGGTGCTCAGTGCTCTGAAAATGAAACTTTATGGTTCAGCAGTGCAGAAGTTCTGCTCTAAAACACTCATATTGAAGGCTGAATGCCTTGAACTGAGAGTTTAAGCAGAAGCAAGCCTGTGTTTTTACTTGCTGATACAACACAACAGGAGCTGTTCATTTGAAAAAGCAGTTGCAGGTTGGAAAGTGGATTTATGTGAACTTTATGCCGTAAAATTTTTCTCCAGTCATCCCAGCAAATCTGTGTGATTAAAAGTGTAACAATTGAAATCGGATCTCAGTATGCTGCATGGCCTTTTCTGCCGAATACGTCTTTTTGCATGTTGACTACACTGTCATAGAAAAAGATTGCTCAGAGGAATTGTCACTGAGATCACTCATCAATGTAGAGCACGAATCATGTACAGTGAAAGTCCTAAGAGCTAAGATTAATTTGCTGTATAACCTAACAGCACCGGGGAGCGGTTGCTCTGTGCTCCAGTTGAGTGGCTGCCCAGAGGGACACTAATGAGAAAACTCAAGACTCACTTCTGCACTTCATCCTTTGAAAATGAATTTCTCATCTTTTGTAAAGGAGCTCAGGCAGATATAAGATCAAGGTCCTCTCTTGCCTTAATATCTCTCAAGGGGCAAGAACTGGTGTTTGTTGCACTGATTTTAAAGCATGCCCCATGCAACTCTCGTGTGTTACCTCACAGACACACTGCAGAAATGAACAGTGTTGCTCTAGGAATAGCAAAGGAATTCAAACTTCCCAGATGCAGTGACCTGAGGCAGCTGTGCTTGGAAAAGAAGCTCTTCTCCATGCAGACCCAGCAGCACTTCTTTCTTCAGGCACTGCTAAGCTCAAGGTTTACAGTAGGTTCTTCTGTATTGTACTACACTGAAGCCATTTGTGAGTGGGAAAAAAAAGGAGTAGCATTAAGATAATATTGAGTGGATGTCACCTCATGCTTGTTGCTACATCATGAATGGGCATCACACTTGAGACAGCAGGAGCTGAAGTAAAGGCCTGATCTCTGTGTAGATTTCTCACTGGGAGATCAGAAAAAGAGGATTGTTCTTGGCAAAGGGGAGTTTTGGTTTAAATGAATTTCCTAAGCTAAAAAGAAGTTTTTGTGAATAGTTTCTCTCAGTTAGGATTAACTAACCCTTCAGAAGTGCTGCAATCGCTTCATCAGATACAGGCAAGTGTCCAAAATGGATCTCAACTACAAAATTAGCTGCTGTAGATGTCTAAACACAGCATGTGACGCTGTCTTCTCCACTACCAAGTAAATGGTCTTAGTGGAGCTGCAGTGTACCAAGATAAAGATATATTTTACTTGTATAATTTATTTCCATTTCTAGGTGGAAAAGGCTGGTTCGGTATAGCTTTGTGCAGTTAGAGCTGTGTCTGCAACAGAGACCATTGTACCAGTGTGTGTTCACCAGGGCAGAGTCCTTGGGTTAGCCTGATATATAATTTGCTTCTTATGTCTCTTAAGATTGCTTTTGCTGGAGTAACTTTAGTCAGCCTGGCAATTGAAGGAAAGGTACCCTAGTGGGATTTACTAGCTGAAGAAGGTTTTGTTAACATCACACTCTCCATTAGTATTGGAAAGAAGGTGGATTTCCTTTTCTCAATGCTAGGGTGACAACAATAGCTGTGTGACAGCACTGTTACAAACCAGGTCTCAGTGAAGTGTCTGTGTTGTAAGGAGAGAATGGAGCAAGCTGTCACTGCAAATGCTGGTTCTGTCTCAGAGGGCAAAATCTATCCCATACATTCTCGTCAGCAAAATTGTCCCTCTGGTATACAAGCTCTGCCCTCAGACACTTGGCATAAGGGATTAGTAAATCTGCATCCTAAGGCTTTCAGTAAGGCAGAGAAGGCTCTAAGATCATGCTCCTGCTGTGCAATTGCCAACTGGCCTTTCACTGTTGATTGCTAGGTAAATTATTGCTGTCTGCGATTAATTGTCTAGCATGCTACTGCAAAGTGTGTACCTCTAGAGCCATTTTACACCTAAAATCCGTCTTTCTTTTTCAGCACTTCAACAGGTTCCCAGTCAATAATATACATTCCACAGGACATTGTTAGAGCAAAGGAAATCATTGCACAAATCAACACCCTGAAAACTCAAGTGAGCTATTATGCAGAAAGGCTCTCACGAGCTGCCAAGGATAGATCAGCTAATGGCCTTGAAAGAACGCTTGCCATCCTGGCAGATAAGGTAGGAGAGTAATACATCTTCGCACTGAAAAACACTGTTATCTTTTTTTCTCCCTTTCTTTTGTTTACTTTATCTGGTAGTGTATTATAAAATGCATAGTCTGTTTAAAAAAAAATAATTAAAAAAAAAAAAATCAAATCTGCTTTAGAATTTGCTGCACTTTTTGTTTTTTCTCCTTTTCTTCACATTTCCTTGCCTTGAGAGTGGAGAACAATGTCCTCTGATTGCCTCTATTGATTCACTGTAATCCAGAAATGAACATTTCTTCATTTTCTATTGTACTCTCTTTCTCCACAACCATGTTGTTTCTTTTAATGCCCCTCTGAGTCATATGTCAAGCAGCAGCAACTGGGCAAAGCTTACATAGATGAAACTCTTCTGTAGTATTTCACTGGTGAAATAAGGAATAATGGTGACACAGCCTTTGCCTGAGTTAGTGATTGAGTCAGTTATTTCTTGACGTTTGTTAACAGAAGACAGACTGTAAGCAGTCATTTACAGGGACAAAAGCCAACTACAGTTTTAGTGACTGCTTCTGACCCTGAAGTAGATCAGGGTTCTAAATGGCAGCAATGGCAGTGGCATATGCTCAGTCCGTTAGCCATAAATTGTCCCAGTTGAGGGGTTGTGTGTATACCTTTGTAGGCCACAAAAGGTAATGTGACCACATGCAAATGTGTTAGTAATAATATTCACTCTAAATGGCACTGCAGCATATATGATTAATCCACAGGATTTTCTACAGCTGGACAAAGTATACATACAGCATAGTGAGGGCTTTCTCTTATTTAATGGACAAACAGGTCTTTTTTTTTTCTTTCATATTCACATAACTTATCCTTTAATACAAGACTACTAATAAAGGAAACAGGTTGTATTGATCAGTAGTTACATTTTCAACTTTTCTCTTAAGTCTTGTGTGCTATGATTTGAGACAGATAGGTGAAATATAAAAATGTCTGAACATTGTTTGAAGGTTTCTTCAAATGGAAGGTGAAGTGCAAATAGCAGTGTTAGGAACTGCACATTTATCAGTGATGCTTTCAGTAACTGCAAGACTTTGGAAACCTACCTTTCTGTTCTAGTATCCTATATAGCTTCTCAGAGACTCCAAAGCAGTTGTTGTTTTCTTTGCAGAATACTAGTGCATGTTTTTTATTCTTTCTGTAAAAGAATCTAATAAAGATTATGTACAGAATAATGGAAAGGTCATTAAAATGTTGGGTTATTATTTCTTTTTAGACCCGGCAACTCGTCACAGTCTGTGACTGCAAGTTGTTAGCAAATTCAATACATGGACTAAATGCTGCAAGGCCAGATTATATAGCTTCAAAGGCATCTCCAACCTCTGGAGAAGGGGAACAAGTGATGCTGAGGAACGATCAAGATACACTAGTGGCCAGATGGACAGGACGAAACAGCCGATCTTCTCTGCAGGTGGACTGGCATGAAGAGGAATGGGTATGTTTGCTCTGTGGGGTGATGATGGAGTTTCTTTTTAGTTTTTGTTTGCTGTTCTTTTATTTGTTATGTCTGTATCTGCTCATGAGTATGCTTAGGTTTCATATTTTGGAGTATATTTGTATGCATCTTAGTCACCTACTGTAGGAACTGGTCAACTAGCAAAGGCATTCCGTCCACCCTGTGTGCATTTACTGCTTGGCACAGGGCTACAGACTGGCTTTAATAAATAATTCTGGGTCTTCTAAGCAGCAGAGATCATCACAGTTTGTGCATTTATTTAAGTCACTTCCAAGGGAGAATAAGCAGCTTTTAAAGTAAACTAACCATACTACAAAGGGCTCTTACGCTTCTCCATAATGAAGCATATTTTGCGTGTGGTAGCTATACAGTTCAGTATTCTGAACTTTTCTCTGGTTTTGTATTCTCATCTAAATATTTGGGACTTGCTGTCCGTTTCTGTTTTGATGATGAACAGCTTCTAAAAAGTATTTGCACAAAAACTGCCAGTTGACACAAGAATTGGTCCGTGTAAATTCTGTCATTGTGTAGTATAAATTGAAGTAAATTAAATCTCAGAGATGATCAAGGTAACTTAAAAAAACAATTAATTGCTCAAATTTAGAAATGAGATCCAATTCATTTTGGAAATGGATCCTTGCTGATTTTGTTTTGGCATGTTTTGACTGAGGGTCAGGCTTAAAATAATAACAAGCTAATAAGGCCAGTTCATTTAATTAGATGCTAAATATAATACACTAATTTTATCTATTACTGAGTTACATAAGTAAAAAAGATGTGTGTTTGTTTATAATTATTATGCAATCTTTTTAAAAGTGTTTTTTCCTATTATATCAGTTAATTGTATTGTTGAATAAGTTTATCTGCAGTACAAAATCAATAGATCATTAAGACCAATTCTTTGACCAGCTTCTATGAAAGTAGCATTTGCATTTACTGAAATAATCACTTTTAAAAATAGAGCAAGAGGTCAGCTTTTATCTGACTAAATGGAGATATTCTTCTCTTTCACCAAATTTCTGAATTTAAAACTATTTTCTGCATTTAGTTTGCATTTGGGCTTAGCCATGCATGTAAGGAAATGCTGGTTCTTGTTTCCTTTTTTCCTGGCTTTGAAAAGAATAAAGAATATAATCTCCTGCTGCCCTTTTAAAGGGAGGAAAGACTGTCACTGAATTTTAATTGCTCTGAGCTTTAAGGAGTTGAAACTTTAAGGGAGAAAAGTAAACGTTTATCAGCAAAACTGGCAAAGCATTTCCTTGTCAAACATTAGAGTCTAAAAGAATAAGCAGCAGTGCCAACTGTAATAGTGAATAGTAGTGAAGGAAGAGGCACTTAAAATTGTTCAGCAAATGTACTTCAAAGGTAACTTTACAATTCACCATTTGCTACATATTGCTGACACGCTGGCATACATTATTCATAGAGAGTCTGTGTGTGCACTGATGTTGTAATTCTGAGTACACAGAAACTTTGCAAAAGGGCTGGGACTGAAATTATAGGAGAAAAATGGAGGGATTTGTTACCTAATGTCTTTTTTTCTTTTTAAGTTGAGAAAGGAATGTTTTCTTTTAAGGAGAAAGTTTGGTTGAATGTTGACAAAAGTCTGGAGTGCATTATACAGAGAGTGGACAAACTTCTCCAGAAGGAGCGCCTGCAAAGTGACAGCTGTGAAGACGTTTTCCAGTGCGACATCAGCTGTACTAGTAAGAAAGGTAATCGGGACACCCGTGCCTACTGGATAAATCCAGAAGATGTAAATGAGACCTCATCTTCCTCACCACCAACATCCTCACCACCACCATCATCCACCCCATCCTGTGCATGCCATTCTCTCAGAAAGACAAGTGCGTATGCCAGACACCGCTTCTCACTTCTGCTCTCTTGCTGTGCGCTGGCATCGTTTCTAAGCCTCATGACATTCTTCCATGTGTCTTTATTTCAGTGCTGGTGTTACACCGTGTTGTCAGGCAGAGAGGGCTGGTGGTGTACTGGCAGCTGCAAAGTCCGTAACTTTGAAATCCTAACCTCACTGAAATCATCGCTAAATCTCTCACTAATGGCAATGGCTTTTGGTTTTCCTGCTGGGTATTTTAAGCTAGAACAGGTGTTTGGGTTAGCATATGTCCAAAATCACCTCTGGTAGCTTTCCTCTTGGCTTCAGCTTCTTTGCAGCGATTAAGGCTTATTACAGTGAGCCTCTGTAAAAGATTAAATAAAGCACAAGAGAAGTGATTTGCTAATGATCCCAACTGGGCTGCCAAAGTGTACGAGGGGAGCCAAGTAGTCCCGTTAGGCTGAGCTCAGCTTGGAAGAGTGAATCTATGGGAGTTTAAAGCAGATTTTAACCCAAACTGACAAAAGCTGTGGTGCTGAAGGGCTCAATTAGTTAGGCTTCATATAGCTAGAAGGTAGGAGTTGGCAGGGTGAGGAAGACGCGAATGAGAGATCCATATTAGTTTAATGCAGCCTTGCATTAAGTTTCAAAATTATTTTAGTTATATATGTACCTATTTGACTTCTTTTCATTTTAGTTACTTGTGGCCATTGTAGTCTCACTGTTTTAATAGATCAGGTATGCCCAGAAAAAGTGAGATTTTGTGTTTTCATTTCCTTTTGTCCTGTTCTGTCTTACTGTTTGATGGCCTTTTGTGCATCTGTGACTTCATGTCCATTCCATTGGTAATGTTATAGTGAAGTTGGAAGACAGTGCCTGTAAGAAAAACAAGGAATTGAAAAAACCAAAAGTTAGTATATTTGTGCAGCTCTTGTTACGTTTGATTTGCTTAGTATCTTAAATAACAATACTTTTCTAAATTAGACTGACATTTGTGTGTGTTGTAAAGAAGACTATAATGGGAGAGTTGGGTCTTGATTCAGAATGTTTTCTATTAATTTTTTACTAAGTTTTACCATTTTGATGCCTTTAAATGTCATTATTTGCTGGCTAGTTTAGTTAGCATTTACATGAAAGTTTTATCAGTGAACTTCATATACTAGAAGTATTATGTTGTTCATATTAAAAAAAATATAGGAAAAATCTGTTGTGGGTGATAACAGAATCTTTCCCAAAGGCATTTCTATGCAGGAAGCATCTTAGAACAATCATTTTCTTTCCATTTACCCAGTATTTTCAGATAATTTTTTACATCTGCTGAAAATCCTGACACCTATGCAATGTGAAGATGGAATTAGTTGCATTTACCTACGAAAGGTTTTGTTTGTATCAGAGTTTACAGAACCTCTCACTGTGTGCCTCCCAAAATGGAAAACAATTCTTCCCAAATCCACAGAACCTGACACAGATAAATCAGTAAGTGTGGCAAGCTTTAAAGCTGAGGGACTTGCTGCCATTTCCCAGTGTAAGGGCTAAATCTGAATTCTAACTGTCAGCTGGCGTTGAATAAATGTAACTTAATGCTGGAAAGGGAATCTTGTTCCTTAGGTGTCTGGTCTTAATGAAAAGTTTGAGCTAAATTGCACTTGAGAAATTCACTGTAAGCCAGGGCAAGCCAGATGCTTGATCGCATTTTATCATTAAATTGTATTCTTTTAATTTTTTTAAGGTGTTTTTAAGTGTTTTTAAGTGTTTTAAATTCCCTTTTTGCGTCACTTTCCACAGCTGATGATGGGAATAGCTGAGAGAGACAAAATACTCTCAGTTCATAATGACGACGTTTTAATGCTTTTCTTTCTCATATGCTCATAGAACTAACAGTTTTTCTGTTACTTATTCTGAGCTGCGAATAAATGACACTGAGCAGAGAGCAGACAATATATATATTTTTTTTTTTTTGTGGAAAGCAAAAAGCAACAATTGAAGATAGTTCCAGAACTGGTGAGAGAGCAGAATGTTACTGAAACACTCAAGAGCATTTCTCTAGAAGTGAATGCTTGCGGAAGAAAATACTGCCCTAAATGGTAGAAGGGAGAGTTAAGATTACACTTGCAGCATGGATGCCTTAATTTTCTGTTAAGTGTATTGAATTTGCTGCTAGTCTTTTGCTGTTTTGAGTAGCAGCCTTTCAGCCAGCTTATTCTGTAGTTGCACTGGACCAGTGTTCTCAAATGGTGCCCTGTGAATCACTGGAATTGGCAGCGCACTCGCTGGTGATCCACAGAGAGCCTCTGAGCTGGCGGGTGCTGGCTCCAGATCCCTGTCCTCATGTCTCCCTGATGTGAAACAGTGAGTGAAGAAGGCAGCTTGTGCTATTGGTGCACTCAGGCAAAGGAGTCTATCTGCTGAGCTCCTGTTCACTCAGTGAAAGAATTTGAGAACCCTGGTGTTGAGCATTTGAGTTGCTTATGTTTTGACTGTGTTGCTGCTCCTTAATCATGCATGTTGCCCCTCCATTTCTGTGCAGATTGCAGCCCCGCTCCGGAAGAATCTGCGCCAGGTATGTGCATTCATGGCTTCTGCTTCTTCTGAAAATTCCAAGTTTTTTGTTCAGATGGACTGTTTTCAAATGTCAGTGTTCTGCGATATCACATGACTTACCGAAACATATTGAGAAGTTATTTCCTATATAATAGTTCAAGCATGTATCTGGTAACTTCTCAGGTGTGGGAGAACACTTGTTTGATTTGGAGAAACCAAAGTGACCACTGACTACTGTAGGTGACAGTGACTTTCCAAATAACGCTAAAGTCTATGGGAGTCTGATTTTCTTGACCTTTCAGTCATGTCCTTTTGTACGTGCAACGGAACTCGCCTTTCTGAATGAGATCTCAAACAGAACACGGAGCAGTCAACAAGGCTGGTGGAAAATCTGTGTTGGGTGTATGCAGCGAGCAGCACTGGGCACTGCAAATCTAATGTGTCAGAATACAGAATTTGGAAGACTTTCCTAGTCTTCTTTTCTCTCCCCTTGTACTTTTACACTCTGGTGTTGCCTTTCCGAAGTCTCCCTTCTGGATGGCTGTAATCTTATCCATTTGAGAGCAGGTTAATCTCAACACTGTGGTGGCTCGTTCTTGGTCCTGTTACACTGTGGTCTAGTGAAATACACAGGGTTTAGTGAAATACATGAGAAGTAGAGCCCCTGTGCAGGTAGGATCTGCATCTTCAGAGAACCTAATGGTGTTCTTCCCAGCTCTCCACCTTGTTTCCTTCTATCACTGGGAAAGCGCTTTTAATGAATAAAATTCGTTTTGCACAAAGTTGGAGTTGCTGGAGCATCTCTATAGTCCTTGCAAGCTATGAATGAATATTGTTTTAGTTATTTTTAAGATTGGAGTAATTAAAAGCAATCAGGTTACCCCAGCTATGCACCCAGATGCACCCCAACTGCATCTTGAGCAGAAATGGCTGAGGCAGCAGTGCAGTGAAGTACTTAATTAGACATTGGTGTCAAATGTACAATGCAGAATATCTAAAGCAGATGACAAGCTTCCTGTAGGTTTATTCAGTGTCAGTCTTTAGAAAGAGTAACTTTCTATCATGAAGCAGAAGCCTCTGATGAGGAAGTGGGATTTGTGTCCAAGATGAGTCAACAGCTAGGTTGGGCTAGGTTGTGATTTTAAGTGTATAGCAACTCACTGAATCTTCACTGTCTCAGGCCCTTTGCCAAATCATTCTCCCTCTGGATCTGTGCGTTGGAGTCTATAACTAGTTTTAAAATGCTCTGGTCATCTCGCAGAACATAAAAGCTGTGCTCAGAGTGGATTTCACATAAAAGTTACTGCCTTCTGGTGTGTAAAGGTGCCATTGATTGATTGGATATTCTTGCAGAATTAAGATTTTGTTAGGTAAATTATGAGCAGTAGACAGAAGAAGGATCGGGAAGTCCTGGTGAACACTTTCAACTTTATTTAAACTCTGTCAGTGAAATATTTTGACCTCATTTGAACCTGTCATTCCTTTTGTTGTTGTTTACTTTTAAGGACAACTGCCATTGATCAAACAGTTAAAAGCAGCGTATGTCTGTGAAGCAGGTTGTGAAAAATATTTAGGATTTTGCTAATTATCAAGGGGCTTTTTCTTTCATGGCCAGTGTCTAAAGCCAAGAAGACACGCAGCAGAGAGGATTTTTGCTTATTAACCTAGATGAGCTGTTGCATTGTATGTGAGTTCTGGGAGAAGAAAACATCTAAAGATTGCTTTATTTTCAGGCATGCTGGTGTACCATCAGCATGCCTGAAAATAAAGCTGTGGTTTGTAATTACCAGAGATAAATTTATCTTCCAAATGAGGTACTGCCAAGCACACTGCAGTCTCTACTGAGTTAACAACTGCATTCATATGTGTATGTGAAATACTGGTGTGCTAGAAGATATCCTCAGTTCTTTCTGTCGATTTATGGAAAAACGCTTAAATGTATTAAGAGAAGTGCTCTGTTGCTGTCATCTGTATTTTGCTTTTTGGTCATTTACAGACCCATGTCAAGGCAGCAATTTTATTTTGAGAGAAAAATACTTAATGGGATGTAAAAGAAAAGCTGTAGTTCCTTGGCTTTTCTTCTGATGTTCCTTACGTTCTTTGTGGCAATGGAACAGAGCCAAATAACTTCCCCTTTGTGAGGTTTATAGATTATCTATCTACCACATGGAACAAAAGCAAAAAGGATACTTCTGTTAATCTTGTCAGCTAAGCTTCTTGTAGCTGACTTCCAAAGTTCCCTGTGTGGCTGATTATCAAAGAAACATTTATTGTTGCTAGCTCTTCAGTCCTGCAATTGAGTCAAAATCACAGTTTCCTTTCAAAGGCTTGAACTGACCCTGTTCATGTGGGCTTTGAGCTGCATGATGCCATGACTGTACAGCCAGCCAGTCTGGGGTCACTTGTCTTGTGGTTGTGGTGCATTTTATCTACAAAAACGCATTGTCTTTCCCTGTAAAAAGAGAAGTTTTCTTCTCTTTCAACGTTCTGTACACTAAAGAGAGTGGTTTTTTTTCTGTTCTGCTTTCTCCTAACATTGCAGAGAGAATGGTTTTTGGTACAGGATCTGAGTAATATTTCATACAGTCCTGGAAATGGTTTTTAAAAATTGGTGAGAAAAAAAGATGAAAGAAGGAGAGAAAAGACACTGAGCCTATGGAATATGTTAAGATAGAGCAATTTCTTTAGGCAGAAAGAATGATAAAATGTTTGGGGTACTAAAACAGGACTTTAGGAATTTAATTGTATTTCTCGACTTCCTGTGTAGGACTTTGAGCAGTGTCACTGTGGGACATAGTTCATGTGTTTCAGTCAAAGTCAAACTCCTGATGCCTTCAAGGGTTTGGCTAGCTCTCATCTACATCGCTAGACTTAGTGTTTCTTGCTAGCTTGATGTAGACTTTCAAAGCTACTTAGCAGACATGAGCATGTGAAAGAGTACCTTCGCCTCTTTGATTTTTGACTCCTGCAAATGGAAAAAAAGCGTGGTCTTACCTAACTGAGGATGAGTATTTTTAAGATGGTGAGTCATAGAACGATACACCCGATTCCACAAAAGGCAGAGGTGTTTGTGAGAAATCTCATTCACAGAGATGGCTAAAGAGATGTTCCCTATGCATCTAGTTATGCAGTGGGCTCCATATTGACTGTGCCTGTGTGCACTGTGTACACAAAGTTATGTGCTCGTCTTTCTGTTAAGGCTTTCTAAATCAGCCATTGTATGACTTGTTCTGTGGCACAAACTGGGGAGCTATTACATGGCTGGGAAAGACTTAACAGCCTCAGACAGTCAAATTCCCCATGTTTTCCTCATGCAATAACCACTCTGTATTGATAACAAGCAGGGAGTAACTGGCCAGCCAAAATGAAATGAGCATTGCATGTGGATTATCAACAACCTTAGCTTGCTACAGTAATTTGCTCCTTAACATGTATTTGTTTGTTTCAGATAAAGTACTTACTTAAAGTGCTGTTAATTATTTATTTCAACCAGGCGAGTGGAGCGAAGCCCTTTATCCTTTGCTGACGACTCTCACGGACTGCGTGGCCATGATGAGTGACAAGGCCAAGAAAGCCATGGTCTTCTTGTTAATGCAGGACAGTGCCCCAACGATAGGGCTGTGTCTGAGTCTTCAGTATCGCAGGGATGTTGTCTTCTGCCAAACTGTAAGCAAGCAAATTTGCAGGGTTTGATTGCACTGGGGCGTGCACTGGGTTTTTGTGAAATATGAAAGCTGGCTTTTTTCAGAATTTTACGTGTCTGCTGTCCTCTCAAGTTTAACAGTGTGATCTTCTCCTGCAGACTGTGCTGTGCTGTTCTTATTGGTCACTTCATGTGCTCAACAAGATAAATGTTAATTAAATGTTTCCTGGGATATACGTTTCTAATTTCAAAACAAATTGTGCCAGTGATAGTGACAATAGTTATTTTTAGTGTAAGAAAAAACAACAAGTCCAACATCATTTAGGGAGAGAAGCCCAGCCACATCAGGAGGAGCAAGTGCTGAGCTTTCTCTAGAAGTTCTGTTTCTGGGCCTGCTGAGGTCTCTTTTGAGTCAACCATTGACTAGCAGGTGTCTGCGCTAAGAACTTTCCACATCCCTTCTGCCCACTGCACCTTCTTAGGGTGCATACTTCCCTGTGCAATTAGAATCTCTTTCCTTTATTTCAAGGAAGCTTTTCTCTTGAATGTTATTTGTTAGGGTTGTTGTTGTCTCATAACATAGTATTCCAAAGAGATACATTCAGAGATGTTTTTTCACATACAAAACTTCAGAATGCACCTGATTTTTTGATTTGACGCTTTGAATATGTTTACCAATCATCAGTTCATCATAAATAGAACTTTAGACTCATCTCTTCTGTTTAGCTCTGTAACTTATACACCTGCATACCTACTATCTGGCAGTCACCCTGGAACTTCCTTTGTTGACAGAAAAGCTGGTACTAGTGTGATATCTTAATACTGATTTTAGGATGAGGTCAGCCCTGGGGCCTTGTCCAGAATACCTCATAACTGGAGGATTTTGAATCTTTGCATAATGAAAACAGACACTGTGTTTTTAAGCTTTTTAAAAATATTGATTTAAAAAAGATCTTTTATTTATGCAATCAAAATTCATAGCTTAGAACTAGTTTTGCTTTTCTATCTGTAACTAACACAGTTTGTAAGTTGTAGATTCTAACAGCAGCGGTCACGTCAAGAAAAGCGGATAGATGCAAGATCAATGACAGTCTGCCTTGGGAGAACATGTGAGATGAAGGCAGTACGCTCTAAATCAGATGTTAGGAGTGTTTTGAGTTTGGTTGGTTGGTTGTCTCTCTTTAGCTGCAAGTGGGGGGAAAAAAAAAAGTTACTGAGCATCAGTCTAACAGATTTTATAGCACCTCAGTATTACATGCTCTGTTGTTTCCATTTGGAGCTGAAGAACCTTTTGTTTTTGTGTTTTCTCTCCCACAGCTGACAGCTCTCATATGTGGTTTCATTATCAAGCTGAGGAACTGCCTGCATGATGATGGATTTCTAAGACAGCTCTACACCATTGGCTTGCTGGCGCAGTTTGAGAGCCTGCTGAGTACTTACGGTAAAAGCACAGGGCATGCAGGAGACAGGAGCTGTTGAATCACCAAATCCTGCTTTAAATTGGCTACGGCAGACCACAAGTGTTTGGTACAGTCTACAGCTCAGCTACAAAATGTTTTCCAAAATTGAAATGCAAAACCAGGTTATAAATGGAGTGCTTAATTCACTAACAACTCTGAATTCACTTTAAATTACTTCTGAAAACATACAAATAAACTTGTCTTGTGATATAATAGAAACATAGAATAGAATGGTTTGAGTTGGAAGGGAGCTTTAAGATCATCTAGTTCCAACCCCCGTGCAATAGGCAGGGACACCTCCTTCTAGACCAGTTTGCTCAAAGCCTCATCCAGCCTGGAAATAATAAGGATAAAGGATCAATTTGATTTCTCTTCGTTTCTTCAAAAAGACTGTTATGTTTGTTTTTCCAACAAAGAAATTGAGTAATATTGCAGTAAGTTGAGAGAAACTATACCTGAAATATGCCTCCTCAATTTTCTTCTCTTCTCATAATCCTACAGTACAAAGTGAGATTGGAGAGAGAATACAAAAAGGAAAAATCCTTTGCTAGTATTGTACTTGTGTCAGAATAGCCATCTGGATGCCAGTTAGGGAGCACTGTACTGAAAAAATCTGGACTATGTTGTAAGATTCTGCAGTACAGTATGCCAAAACCTGTTTTTGACAGTGCAGAGAAGGCACTTACCAGCATCACCTAAATTGGAAAATGAGAGTACAATCTACATGAAATCCAGTAGTCTGGACTGTGCTGGATGATTGGTGTTTTCTAATATTGCTAAACTGATGAAGTTGATCATGATGTTGTCTGCAGGCTGTAGGTCAAGGTGGGCTGGGCTGCCTTGCATCTTTATCCACAGAACTTCTTCATGAGATTGATGACCTACAGCCCAAATCAAATCAATAAAGGGAAGTTGCACATAACTGGTAATGATTACAATTTACTTCTTCCTCCTTGTTTTAGGTGAGGAGCTGGCAATGCTGGAGGACATGAGTTTGGGAATCATGGACCTGAGGAATGTAACCTTTAAAGTAACTCAGGCAACATCAAATACATCTACTGACATGCTGCCAGTCATCACTGGGAATCGGTGAGCAAAAGGGAGGAGAGTGGGAAGTGGGGTGGGAGAATGGAGAAGCGATGATGCTGCACTTAAAATTCAAGTGAATTATGAGCTTTGTACTGTGCTGCTCTCTCCTCTCAGAACTTTAGAGAATTATTAGGTAGCTGACTAGCTTATTTTTTACTGGTGTTTAATTTTACAGAGAGCTAAGCTGAAAAGGAATGTATAGCAAAGCTCAAACCGTGACAGTATTTTTATGAGTCAGTATTATCCCAACCTAGCTTTCCATAATCACAAGCCAGTATTATTCAGTCTTCTCTTATGTACTTGTGCTGTTTGTAAATTTCAGACTGATTTTTTTATGCTGTTCTCCTTGTCTGACATTCACTGATGTTGATAAGTTTGACAGTGCTTTACCATATGCCGTTGACCATTAGCATCAGGCAGCTGCTGGCTGCTGTGTATTTATGATCAATTTCTTAGCTAGCAGAGACAAACTGAATTTAACTTATAGTTGCTGACTTGATGTTCTGTGCTCTTACCCAGAGGGAGCCAGTTCACAGGTAGGTAAGAGTGGGTGGAAGGACAGAGCGCTCACAGAAGTCAGTGTTTAAATGTTTTAGTTTCAAATCTGACTTCTGGAGGAGATAAGGCTTTCTTGGTCAGTGTGGTGTACCAAGTTCCACTGAAGATTTGCACAACTTTGTCCACATCTGAAATACAGCTACAACTCTTGAGAGTAAGGATCCATAGAGGAATTTAATTAAGTTCAGATTCACATGCAATAAAAAGTGTGCTAGCTGAAGGAGGGCTGCAGTGCAGTTGTGTACATGACAGAATTTGCTGAGACCTTTGGGAGTGGCTGAGAGCTGACAGAAAATCCCTCTCAAAGAAAATCTTTAGTTAAAACCTGCTGTCAGCCATAGGATGCAAATCAAGAGGAAAACAGTCTTCACTGCACTCAGGGCTGATGATGTTGCTGTAGAGATTTTACCTTAGAATGAGAACAAAAAGTCATGCTTATTTATTTTGGTGCAAACGGTTTGGAGCTTTACATTTAGAAATGAAAACAGGCTTTTTACTTTCAGTCACAGCATGATTTCTACTTCTATCCAAGGTATGTGTGGGACATACCAATTTTGATTGCCCTATGTACTTCTCAGAGCTCCTTTGCTGTACTTGAGTGTACATGCTGGCAGTGTGTTGTGAGCAGAAAAATTATTATAGGAAAGCTGAACTATAGGGACTTAAGGTCCTGCTGCTGCTAGATTAAACAGCACTCAGATCAGAGTTACTTTTGACCTAGCTACCTGTAACATTTGCAACCATGTGTCAGCCTGTAGCAGATGTAAGGTGGTATGCACTGATGTTATGGGTATTACCTCTCATTTACCATGATGTAAAGCACACACAGGGCTCTTTGCCTTGGCTCAGTAGACCCAAGGTAACCTGCTGACTTGTGAACTTGAGTCATGATGTTCCATATCAGTGCTCATTAGCTCTCTCTTTGGCTTATGCTCTGGTTCACTCCTGTCATTGCCTTTGTCCTTTGGCTCTGAAATATCAGCACTACTTACTGTGTCTAAAAACAAATCTTCCTCTGCATATGCATCATCACTAAACATTATCACTTTAAACTCAAATCTACTTTACTCAAGATGGGGTCGTGCCAAAATTTGGCTTTTTTGTCCCTAAGTCATGTTAGAGCAGTAATGTTAATGAGAAGAGCAATATCAGCTTTTGTCAGAAAATTGACAGATTGGATTGAAATGTCCACGAGAACATAAAATTAATGTTGTTGTTGCTGGTTTGTATTTGAAGTAGAAGAACTTTTTGTAACTAGGAGCAAGCTGCAGCAGTTTTTTCAGGTCCTCAGTTTTGACTGATACTGATTTTTCTAATAATGGGATTGCATTGTGGACGTTAGCCCTCTTCACAGAAATAACACTTTCTCAGAATGATGCTTCTGAATCTTCATCTCATATTTCTTTCTTTGTTCACAGTGATGGATTTAACGTGAGGATCCCTTTGCCAAGCGCCTTGTTTGATTTGCTGCCGCGAGAGATTCAAAGTGGCATGTTACTGAGGGTTCAGCCTGTGCTCTTCAACGTGGGGATCAATGAGCAGCAAACCCTAGCAGAGAAGTAGGTATTTGTTTCTGCAGCTCAGCCTTGATGGCAGTTCTGCAATCTCCTGTTCTGCTGATAGGGTGCCTCTGTGGAGTTACGCTTTTGCATTGCTAACAGTAATTCGTTTTCTCCTGCAATACACAAACCAGGGAGTGTGGAACAAAGCTGACAAACAGAAGGAGGTACTTCTTCATATGGCACATAGCTGTGAAGGTCCTTGTCTCATGGCTTTGTTTCTAATACAGGTTTATGTTTCAAAAGAGAAGATGTATTTAACACAGATGTGCTGCTTCTCACCTCTGTGAGTGGTAGGTCACTGGAGGATGAGATTACTCTGAGTATCATTGTGTTTTTGCCCTGGTGGTTTAGCATTCTTCCCTAGGCTTCCTCTTCTGGAGGAAAGCTGTCAAAATCCAGGGTCTTGGGCTAGATGGACCTTTGTTTTAATGTATTGTTGCATTACTTATATAACACAGCACTGCTTTTGTAATGCTGAAGAATGTAATTGTGTAATACTTCTTGTTAGGGAAACTGTTCTGGAGGAGCCACCAGTTTGCTCAGTTCTAGCTGTATTTTTAAGGAGCATGTTGACAATTGCTGTTTTTATGGAGTGCTCAGTGAAGTCAGGCACAGGCATGTTGTGGCATCAGTGTGCTGTATGATGGTAGACAACTAGAAAACATCAGACTAAGCCATTCCAGCAGATTTTGTTGTCCTCTGTTGCCTATAAAGGGAGTCCAAGTTGACTCCATAGTTGTAGATACCAGTATGGTGTGCATTCATATTCACGTGCATGTGTGTATACATGTATGTACATATACATAAATATATGTATATAGTTAAGTGATGTGGATCACATCAGTGATGAGTGCTTATTACTTTCACATTTTACCGCTCCTGGATCCATATTTCTCATTCACATCCGAAATAGAAGTTCTTGATCCCGTCTTCTGAAGCTACAGTTATTATTTATATATAGTTATTCAAACTTAAAGTTTGAATTTTGGCAAAATGATTTACCACATGGGTTTCTAATTTTGAAAGCAGGATACCAAAGCCCAAGTATTATTTTCTACAACATTTTGTTTCTGCCTTCCTTCCCACATTTCTCCTCACACTTGTATATTTCCTTTTCTGGAGTGAATCACATCAACTCTTTCCTGCTATGCTTTACTCTGCGTTTGAGTGTTAGCACTTTCTTGGGATGAATCTTTAAACAGTTTTCTTGTCATATTGCCGAGTGAAGTTGTCCTGAAGAAAAGGAGAAAAATTACCTTAAGTTTACTTAACTTCCCTTCTTCACCTTTTAAAGGTTCGGAGACACCTCACTGCAAGAAGTAATAAACATGGAAAGCTTAGTGCGGTTAAATTCATATTTTGAGCAGTTCAAGGAAGTTTTGCCCGATGATTGTAAGTATTTGATAATTTAGTAGAACTTCTCAGGCTCATTTTCTTACTTGTTTGTTTTAATTTAGTTCTTTAAGTGTTGTTACACCCATGTCAATAACCCCCAGTAAATGATGCAGCGCAGTTTTACTACGTAATAATTTTATTTTAATTTGCAGGTTGAGTAGATTCAAGTGTTTCAAAGTCCAGTCTGAATAACCTTCCTTTCCTTAATCTTCTTTTGAATCTTTTTCCAAGTGGCATTATATATTTTATGAACATAGAGCCATGCAGTGAGATTGCTGCGACAGGTTGTAGCAGCAGCACTTGTGTGTGCAGTTTTTGGTCATGTTCTCTTAGTGACCTGTACAGAGAGCAGCTGCCATTTTTTTGAAGCCTCTTAATCATGTCCTCTCTGCCTGTCCTTTGTGCATGTAATTGTCACATCTGCAGCCAACGACAGAGAAGTCGAGCATGTGGAAGAGGGACAGTAGCTGCAAGACTGAATGTTACTGGTAATCTAGGAAAATGTCTTGCTTATTATGTTGGGTTTTTTTAGGAAAAGTGGCTCAAGTGTCCCCAGAAACTGTGACAATTGGTTTGTTATCATTAATACCAAACGTCTTATGAACTAATTTCTTGTTCCCCAAATTGCAGTTTTATTGCAGAAACAGAAACGCAGCAACGTGCAATGGGATGGTTAGAATGCTATTTGCTGAAGTAGCTTATAACACTTTCAGGCACCCTGCATTATATTTGATGCAGCTGAGAGTCCCCCCCCCCTTTCCAGTCACTCACAATTGGGCATGATAGTTTTCACTGAAGTTTTAGCTGCAAAATCTTAAGCTGTATTTTATTATATGGTAGTCTCATATCAGACTGTCTTGTAAACTTCAGATATTCATCCATTTATGTTGATTTTTGTTCTACTGTTTTTCCTGTTCCTTTCTGTCCGTAGTCTTCCTTATCTCATACCTTTATTTCAGTCTCTTCCCTCATTTCCAAACCTCATGTTGATGTAGTCATCTGTTAGCTTTTGCCCTTTTCTGTTAACATTTTATTTAATCCTGCAGTATGTTTTCTGTCCTGTCATTTGTTCCTTTTTCTTGTTTTTGAACTCTGTTTTGTCATTATATTTACTTTCCCTTATTTTTAAAGAGCACTGGCTTCACAACTTCAAGCTTCACCAACACTCACTTTTTGTAACAGAAATTTGCCTCGAGTAACTTGAAGTTCTGAATGAAACTAATGTTCAGTGTTGGACAGGTGGCATTAACAGGCACCTTAACAGCAAAACAGAGCAGAACGGTTTTGTGTCCACCCACCTTTTCTCCTTCACTCCAGCTGCCTGTTGTAACACTGAGCTCCCTGCCAATGAGATGAATACCTCTGAGAGGGAAAATCTGCCCTCTGCCAAAATTTTGTTCTGCTTCACTGTTTTTTCCTGAGTAAATGTGGACATGCTGTACCTGGTCTTGCAGTCTAGCTTGGACAAATATTTTGTGGTTATAAATATTAAGAAAAAGTTTTGAGTAGAAGTGTGAAAAAAAATAATGCAGGTGTCCCAGCAGATGTGTTAGAGATGCTCTGTGAAAAACTGAAACGTGGACAAACCTGGAAGTGTGCTTGTCCAAGAAAGGGCTGGGAGTATGTTTTGTGCCTCCTCTGTGGTGATGGTCAGCATGTACAGAGATGTACAAAGTGCAAAATACTTCTCCATGAGCCTTTGTCAGGAGAGAATAACTTTTTTTTTTTTTTCTTTTTAACTGTAAAATAAGTGGTATTATATATGTGGTATTATTATATATATAATAAGTGGTATTATTATATATGGCAGTTGTGTAACCTGTATTATACAGGCAACAGGAAACAAACATACAAACAGATCCTTCTAGGGACAGGCAGCATAGTGATGTATCTGCTGGTATCTTGTAGGTGTTCCCTTCCAGAACAATACATGAGGAAAGATTTTCCCCGATCCAGTGTCATTTTGTTTTTCTGAAAACATGTGCCATGAATTCTGAGCACTGCAGAATTTCCAAGAAGTCAGTTACTGTGTAGTGGTTCCCTTTGATCACCTTGTCTCTAGGCATACTCAGGGAGGTGACTTTGGCCCTTTTTTTGTTTATAGACATCAGAGTGTGTTTCTTGTAGCTTTAAAAATGAAGACATGAACAGAAATAAAATGGTATCTTTACAATTTCTGTAGAGACATACATGATTTCCTGTCACATCTGTGGGGTGCAGTGCCAGCAGTTACCTGCTTCTATATAGTTCTGAGCATGTCAAAGCAAGTACATCTTTGCAAACAAGATACTATACCAATCTTATTCCCTTCGTTCCCCCTGTTACTGTATTGCTGTATCACATTCTGAACCCCTGAAATTTTAAATGACATGAATATATATTTCCAGTAGAGTTTTATTAAACTTGAATTTGTTTTTCGGTGGTATCGTTAATTACACAATTAAGAATTGAGTTGTGAGCTTTGATAGTTTGAAGAAAACGTGACTGAATTTCCAATGGGCATATAGGAGTACTTTTCATGCAACTGATCTTTGTGAAAGTGTTGAATGCAACTAAAAAAAGTGGACTTGGTTTTGTTTGTATTGTAGGTCTACCTCGATCTCGTAGTCAGACGTGCCTGCCTGAACTGTTAAGGTTTCTGGGACAAAATGTACACGCAAGGAAAAATAAGAATGTTGATATCCTTTGGCAAGCTGCTGAGGTACTTAGTAATCTGAGTATTTCTGTATAGTTCAGTTGATTTTCTGTATACGTGCATAGTTTCCACTTTTTATCACTGATATATTCAGATTTCTTCACTTGCATGCATTAGCTTGGAAATATTGTTTGGCTGAACCTCCTCCAGATTTTTTTGCACATCAGTATTTTCTCTACAACTCAAGTAACAAAATACTGCTGTACCACAGATGACAATTTTTTACATCAGAGTCTACACAGGATTTATATCTCTTCAAGGAGGAGAAATACAGGTCTGTTGTGTTCTCTGGGAGAAGGTAATGCACGAGGAAAGAATGATCAATTGTGTGTCCCGTTTCTAGATATGCCGCAGACTAAATGGCGTTCGGTTTACAAGCTGTAAAAGTGCCAAGGATAGGACTGCTATGTCGGTCACCCTAGAGCAGTGTTTGATCCTACAGCATGAACATGGAATGGCTCCACAGGTCTTCACTCAGGCTCTCGAGTGTATGAGGAGGTAAGAGTTTTACTGTGTCACTTAGGCCTAAGTAAGGAACCATGCAAACTGCAGAGGAGAGGTGGCCTCTGTTTCTATCAAAAGAAACAAGAAGTAAAACAAAGCCAAAAAAGCTGCAAAACTGGTTGCGAGGATTCATCCCTTGCTTGCATGTCTTAAAGAGTTACACTGTTGAAGCTGGTCCTTATTGGGTTTGCATCAGGTGAGTTTTAGTTTTCAGTAGTGAACTGGAAGTTTTCAGAGAAGCATATGAAAATAAATTTGCAATCCATGCTGAGCTTTACTGAACAGGAAACTGGTGCTTCTTTGAAAGTTGTCTGATGATGAGGTTGCTGCTGTCATAGCACTGGGTTTCTTAGTTCTAGATCAGGCATCAGCTGTCTCTGATTTCTCAGAGATGCATGTTGTTCTTTGAAACACAGACTCCTGCAGTTTGCACTGGTTTGACACATGTATTCTTCAGCAGTGAAACACTTTGCTCACCGGGCAAAATGTCAGTATGAGTGTTTCACAGTGCAGCAATCAAATTTCATCACAGCGTGTCAGTGTGCTGTTGTCCTACCAGTATAATGATGTTCTGTATTCTGAAGCAGCAGAGATGTTTGCAGAATTCAATACTGTACTAAAAAAAATCTGTTTACTGTTGTTCAATGCCTTGTTTCAAGCACTGCTGGAAAACTCCGTAACTCACATACCAAAAGAAAGGATAAGAAATCTAGCTTTAGTCTTTATCAATGTAGTTCAACAATGCTGTTCAGTCCTGTTTTTCAACATTCACTCTTACTGAATGTACTGTACTGTGTGTCTTCTCACCAAATTCTCTAGAGTGTTCAATTCTCTTATCCTTTCTGTATGTTTTTGCTGTTTGACCCTTTCTTACTCTTTGGGTACTGAGAAAGAAAATGTCTCATACAATAGCACTCGCAGCCTCTTACACTAAAACCTTGTTTTTCATTTCAATGTCCAACTGGATGTCACTGGGCCTTTTTATGTTCACTTTTTGTTGGACTGTTACAAAATTAATACTGTATGTGAAAACTGCATCCAGAGTTTGGTTAAAACTTGACATTCGAAGCAAAGACAGCTCAGAATAGCTTGTGAGGGAGAAGTTATTGACTTAAAAACAGAGCCGAGTGACTCTCAAATACCTTATTGTTTAAACTGTGCAACTTGTTGGTGTAGACATCTGAAAGAAAAGAGCTTGGTTGTGCAGTTTTAACAAAGCTATTTGCTTAGTAAGAATAGAAACAGAACAAGTATAATACTAGGGATCTTGCTATTTTCTTTATGTTAGTTAAGGAGTTAATATTTTTAATGCAGTCAGGGTCACAGTACAGGCAGAGATTAATAACAACATTGTGTTGGTCCTCTGTACCATCAGTTTAATTTATTACCATATCAGATAAAACACTGACATAAGAGACACATTGCTTTGTGTTGACCTACATCAAGTATTGAAAGTGGGCCAATTTAATCAAAACCTTTGGCTAGCATGTTCCAGCAACATCAGAAACTTGCTCTAACAGATGAAAGATGTGGTTTGCTCTTCTTCTGTTAGATTGTTGAAAAAGAGGGATTATGCAGAATAAATGCTGATTAATCCTAATGGAATACTAAGGCAAGATGGGTTTTCATCAAGTTTATCCCTGTCTCATTGCTTTTTAGGGTAGGATGTTTTTTTTAAATATATTCTCCAACTCTATTTGAGACCAATGGCAAAAAATTTAAAAAGCTTAAATAGAGGGATAGGGTTATGGAACAAATACAGAGTATTGCAAGTTGGAAGGGACCCACGTGGGTCATTGAGTCCAACTCTTGGTTCAATATATACTCCACCCAAGTCCAACTCCACCCAAAACCATCTTGACCTGGACAGGATGACCTGACCTGGATGCCCAATGTAGCAGATGGAAGAGTTACAGATTACTTCTAGAGCATGTAAAAATACCTTTTTTTCATTTAACCTGGACCTTATTTGATGTATGTAATTGTAGAAAAAAAGTAAGGCTCGGTTCAGTCTTGAATGCAGACATTTCAAGAAATGGTGCAGAACTTGTGTTTTGCTTTTGGTAAAACATTTTCAGTTGGGCCAAAATACAGAACTGTTCCTGAACCTTGGGAAATACCCATAGCACTACTGTCTTTTTATTCTTTTAAACATACTGTCAGTGTGTCAGGTGCACACAGTTTTCCCTGGCATGGTGGGAGCTCTGAGGACTGATTCTGAAATCTAAAAACAGAATTGGACATGAAGAAGTGAATAGGTCAGTCCTCAAAGCAATGTAAGCATCAGGGGTGCAGTGAGATGGGCTGTGCAACATCTTCCCTTCACAGGTGAACATTGAGGCACTTCAGAAAGATGCAGTTTGAAAGTGTATCAATACACATTTGAATTTGTTTTGAAGATGAAAAGCAAATGGTAGTTTGGTTTTTTGGTTTGTTGGTTTGTTTTTTGTTTTGTTTTGTTTGTTTATATATTGAGCATTTAGTTAAGAGGTTAAAGTATTTCACTGCAGCTCACGTGGAAAGATGTTTGAAAGGGTCAAATACTACAATGGTTATTCATGTTCAGCTTGCTTTTCAGAGCTCCACTTTTTTGCAGCATGCAGAAGCATGGCAGAGCTGCATGGGATATTGCTTGGTAATCTGAAAGAATGAACATGGAAAACCATTAATGTTCAACCTACATGTATTTATTTTCAGTAGACTACAGTACTTCTTTCTTATTTTTCTCTTTTATTCTCTTTCCCTCTCCTTTTATCTGTAATTGTGCTGATATATATTTTTGAGATGTTTTCCCTGTTTTTCTTTACTTCATATTCTGGTTTTGTTGTGGCTTCTTCCATCTTTTTTTCATCTTCTTGACCACTTTGCGTTGCCATCTCTTTTTACGCATTCATTTGCATGTCCGTCTTCTTTTCTGTTTTATTTTTCCTCCTCCCAACCTTCTTCCTTTTCACAGCATTGGAACACGGGAGGTAGTCACCCAGAAGAACTTGAGTGGCTTGGTGCCCATCCGAGATTTCAGACTAGATCCCAGCCTCCTCTACTCTATTCCTTTACTAGCTCTCAGCCCCAATTTACTGATTGTGTGGCTGTTTCTGAGCATAGCGTACCTGGTGGCCAGATTACGTTGCAAGTGAAGATAAGGTTAAAAATAAAAACAAACAAACAAACAAATTGCTTGAACGTGTATTGCCACTTGGTACCTGCTGGACAAAAGAATGTGTCATAACATTGTCTGCCAAGAATTATTATTATGCCTTACAATTTTACGTTTCTATTGTACTAAACTGTAAATATACATCAAATTATTTTATCAAGAAGAATTGTATTGAAACTTTAAATTACTGTTCTGCTTTCAGTGCTTGTAACATAGTCTGACATTTGGCCTGTTACCTCGTTACTTTAGCCGGCCTGAAGATCTCTTACCAAATACAGTTTTGTGTTACTTGTTTCATGTATTCCAGAGAAAGGAACTCTGAAAAGAATTTGTATCTTTTGTATATTCAGGGTGTATGCTAATCTTGCCTTTCATTTTTACAAGCTAAGAGGAGAAAAAATAAAAAATATGGGTGGGGTTTATAAGAAGTTATAAGAAATTTATTTAAAGAAGTAAACAAATTTGTACCTTTATTTCAAAGCATAATATCCAAATGATTATTACACAATTTGTAGAACCATAGTCTCGTTCCTTTCTCGTGGTTACGTATGTTCCAGTAGACTAGTGTACCCACTGAACAACAACTTGCAGTGTGCTGCATGCAGGATTATTTCATTATATTTATAGATCTGCATTTTGTAATATATTAAAGACAAAAAGATAATGGCGTCTGGTTAGCGAGAGTATGTAATTGGCAGAGCCTGCTAATGATCCACTGTCTGTTTCAGGTGCTTTGTTCTATAACTTATTCTGAAACAGGGTCATTATCATCCTATTGAAGTTAGTCTACAATATTTCAAGCAAGGAAAGGAAGGTATTAATTAGCTCTGTTATTTGGTGGGCTTGAGGTTTTCCACTAGGCTTTGTGTTAATGACACTGGGCTAAATATTAGTTATTTCCATTTTTGAGTGTCGGACAGCTTTAATAAATTATGATGATGATAGACAATGATTTAGAGGTAAATGAGTGATGGCAAGAACATTTATTTAAATGATGATACTGAAGAAATATGCCTAGTTTAGTCACACGGAACGATTGTGGAAGAAATTTGGACACAGTTTGTATCTAACATCTGACTGGGATAGGCCTGTTGAAAATGGTGGACTCTGCTGATGTAGTAGTCTGGAAGTGCTTGTCAATAGCAATAGTTCATTGAAAAACTAACCTCATTTAACATAGTTTGCTAAATTCGTTAAGGGATTTAGTTTGCTTGGTGCCTAAGATGACAGAATGTTGAGCTTGATGACCAAGGAGAACTCCGCTAGTACTGTGATTTCTAATTTCTACTATTATTACCTTGCTCAGAAGACATAGATAGCTATAGCTTATATTATCAATTTTAATGTATTTTGAAAGCTCCTGAAGGAGGTACGCTTTAAAAAGAGAAGAACATAGTTTAAGGGGAAAAAAAAAAAAAAGAAAAAAAAAGGAAAAAAAAAAAAGGCTAAAATCCTAAATTTGGCAAATATTCTAACTAAATGAAGTACATGGTTATACTCGTGTCTTCGTGAAAGAAGACTGTACAGTACACTATCACCTGGTATTTTTCTCACTATTCTTCCAATTTTGTTTTTAAAAGAAAAGAAAGCCCACAGACAGTGTATGTATATACTTAAGCATTTATCCTATTTATTTTGGATTGCTTCAGCAAAGCCTTATGGGCTTTAAAAACATGGTGCGATGGTATTGGACATTTCCACATCCTGTGCTGCTGTCCAGTACCACTGCATCTCAATACAAATAATTTCTTCTTTCTGATTAAGGTTGGTTTGTTTGCTATGAGTACCAAATTCACTTTTTACGCAGTAAATGGTGATTAGGTTCACTGTAGCCTTCTTGGTGAGTGTCCTGCGTTCAGCCTACCAAGATGTGAAAGTAACTTTAGTAGGGGTGTCTCCACTGAGCTCCCTGCTGTTATTAAGTCTGTTATAAATGCAGTATGAAGCTTTGCTTGTTTACTGTTGTTGGCAAGATTAGGCATGCAATAAGACCACCTTTAAATTAATTTACATTAATTGTAAGTGAAAGCTAAGACCTTTTGAAAACAAAAAGATGGGTTCTTTCATACCCTTTGGTTGGGACAAGTTTTCATTTTTTCCTTCTTTAGTTCAGCCTGTGCTCTCATTCTGGCATTCAGATTTAAAATGACACAGTGCTTACAGCTCACGTGCCTCCAGAAGCTCCGCAGCACACAAAATAGGTGAGATACATCTTTGCCATCGTGCTTGCGGGCCACCTGTGCCTCAGAGGGACATGGGCAATGCAGGCAGTGGAATGAGTAATGAGCAGAATTACTCACTTCCAATTGGAAATTCTCAGTTGGCATCCCATATTTTTTATTTTAATTAGATGTTTTTATCACTGCTCTGGAAGATATTTCCTGCCAATCCTTGACGGGTCTATTTGCAGCAGTCTTTGGGGGATGTGCAATGCACTAAACAGTGTCACAAGGTGCAATCCATTCTGTAGGACAGTCACACACACAATATACTGAGAGATTTCAAACATAAGCTGTTATCTGCAGTGAAAACATTCAGTGTTCTGTGAAGTTAAGCTAGGTGGTACGTTAAGTAGCAGAGCTACAGTCGATGTGATTAACCAAAATTAGAGGAACAGTGAGATCAGCAACAGCAGAGAGCTTTCAAATTAAAGCAGGAAACCAAACCCTCCTTGTGAGTCAGATTGCCTCTGTTTAGCTGGTACCTGCTGCAGCCATCTCCAGGACGGGAATGATGGGACATTCCCACCGTAAGATTGTGTACTGTACAACTTTGCCATGAACTTTTATTATTGTTAGATCAATGTTTAGGTTTCCATTCTCTGTCAGAACACGTTCTCATGTGAGCCTAAATTGATCTCTACTATATAAAATGCAGTGCTTCCTCTTTGTATGTCTGTTTTGGATTTGAAATAGATTTACAATGGTAAAGAAGCCTTATAAGTGGAATCGTTTTTTTATTGTAGCACAGAACCTCTTTGTAATGTGGGGCAGTTGCACCAAAGCATTGGGTAAAGTTGGACTCCCAAATTCTGCACAGCTTTGTTGCATTGGGGTGATGACTGTCAATGCAGCCAATACAGAGCTGCTATTTCCTGGTGTTTTTTTAAGAGTATGTTGGTTTTCAAGTCAATTTATGCATGCAAAGATAACTGGAGAGCCATTATTTTTATATCAGCTCTGGTCCTTAAGTTCTGATAGCGCTGATGTACAGGGAACAATAAAATAAAGCTCCTGTTGAGAGGTGGGCAGTCTTTCTTTTTCAACATAACATACTAATGAATTAGCAGAACTGCATTTAAGCAATCTTTTGGGATCCTTTGTACAATGGCACGTGAGCGCCGTAACAGCGTACCCTGAAATACATGAAACCTTCCTAAAAGAACTTTCTCACTGGATGCACTGCTGCTTTTTAGAAATGCAAAACTAGCGATCAGACATAGCATGTGTCCATTCTGTGTGCTTCTTACTAGCATTGTATGAGGAGTCATCATCTTTAATATTTGCAGTGGCAAATTAATTAAGCGCTCATTGAATATAACCAACTTTTTGTTAATGCTATGAAATAACCAGTTCATTTCATCTTAGTTTAAGTCTTCTTTTCTTTTTTTTTTTTCTTTTTTTTTCCGTTTTACTGCTGTCATTTTTTTGTGCTTGTTTTTTTTCCCCAGTGAGGGGTGTCGGCGAGAAAATACAATGAAGAATGTTGGATGTCGCAAGTATGCATTTAATTCCCTGCAACTGAAGGCTTTCCCAAAGTATTACAGGCCTCCAGAAGGAACTTATGGAAAAGTTGAAACTTAAGCATCTTATGTCCTTTAATTGCTGTTCCATTAAGACGTGTGGCTGCACTCTAGACTAATACATGATTCTGTCATCCAGACCAGATCAGTAACCTTTCTGTACGTTTCACTAGGCTATATGGAGCATGTTACCTACCAGTTGGAGTCTATAGTAACAGTTATTTGACACCTTAGCTTGAGAATAGTGTGATGACTCTGCCCATTTAAATAGCCTTCAGTGTATGTAAGATGAGCAGATATTGTGCTATTTAATAATTACCTACATGCAAGTAGCTGGGCACCTCCTGGATGGGCAAGGACTTTGCGAATGGCATTGAGGCAGCTGCTTCACGTACTTCTTTCAATACTGAGCTGACTTCAGACTGAGCTTTTCGTCACTCTTTCAAACTGAGAGTAAACTCAACCGTTGTAAATAGAAAGGGATTGGACAGTAGGCAGTCTAATCACAGCAGGATGCATTATTGCAATCAAGAAACAGATGTAACTTCTAAAAATAATCAGCACAATAGCAGCCAGGAGTATAAATTGTTTCACTGTATATAGGATGCCATCTTGAAATATGAAATGAATAATAAATGAAAAGGCTGGGCCTATGAGGTCTAGTTTGTAGTTCTGTCCAGATAAAGACAAATTCCGGTCATTTTTAGCACAAAAGGACTTGGGCAAGTGTGAACCAATTTTCAAAAGCGTTTCAAAACATAATGATGTTAATCGATTAATGGCAGCAACTGTTCTCCCAGCCCTTCCCCACTATGACATGTTCATTGTGTTCCATGGTAGCGTATATCAATCAATGTGCTCCTTTATCCATGGCTTTTTATATTGCTTCTGCATTGTAAGCGTTAGGATGTCGGGGCATTGCATTTTTTAAATCGGTGTTTGGTTTTTATCAGTATCTGTCGACTCAAAAATGCTTAAAGTACCCAACATCCCCCCAACCACCTGACAAAAATGTTACCTTTATTAAGTTTTGCTCATTTTGATGGAACGTAACTCATGTGCTAATGCATGAGAACCTCAGGTGTGTTAGCTTAAGGCTGAGGCTTGGTAGTCTGTCAAACTTTGATAGCATTTCATAAAGGTTCAGTACATCTCCTTGGAAATCATCTCCGAAAGGATGCTTTGAAGATAGAGGATACGTTCTTAAAATGCAGCTAAATGTTAAGTTGCAAATCTTAACAGGATTAAATCATTCCTAGCTAGCTTCATTCAGCCCACTGTGCCCTACCACTCCAGTTTCTGAGGGCTATGAGCTGTAGAATAGAGAAGCTGGTCATTTGTTCTTGTGAGAGTAGCAACAGCCAGGTAAGTATACGGCTGTTTTCTGGCTTCCTTCTCCCTCCCGCTGATGTTTGTCTGTGCTGTCACTGCTCTATCAGTCATGTTCATTCTGCTCCCATGTAGGTTTGGGGGTTTTAAGTCCAGCAGTTTTTGCATTTTGCTTTTAGCAGTCTGACACTGAGCAGCATGTCACAAAGCCAGCCAAGAGAGTTCTGCTGAACCACGTTGTTACCATTACTGCAGACGTTCTAGGAGGGGAAACAAAAATGCTGTGCAAATTCAATGCATTTGTAGGTCTTTTCCCAGTTGCAAGCTCCTTCTGTAGTAGCATGGACCCTTGGGAAATTACAAACCTTGTCCTCCAATGAACAATTGTTGCTTTTTGTTCTTTTTTTTTAATGTGTAAACAAATGTTTGGTGAAAACCATTGCAGTGAGATTTCTTTAGACATTATTCTCTTAGTTCTGCTCAGCCTTCAGCCCCCGACCCGTTATTAAAAGCTACATTTATTTTTGTATGAACGATTGTCTTGATAGCCCTTAGTTTTTATGAGTTTTAGTTTTATTTTGTATATTTCAAACACAGTTAATATTTTAAGTCCTATATTGTTACACTAAAAGTCTTCTTGCAGCGTTCAGCTTCAGAAGAATACAAGAGGTCTACGGTTGCAATTAGCAGCGCCGCTCTCTTAGATGGTGGCCCACAGTCATCAGGTCTACTCTAGAGCTTAGTGATCCTTTATTTATTTCGTACACCGAATATAATCAGAAGCTCCCCAGTTTTCTATATGCATGGTTTTTGCTCACCTTTTAAAGTGGTGGGATATTTTAAGTGTACTTCCATGTAGAGCATCATTGTCCAGCTGACGTGTTCCAGGTACAGCTGTCGGCACAATGCACGCCAATGGCTTCTTCTGAAGGGCGTAACGAGCAGGGAGGTCTCGAGCAGTTAATCAAAAAAGACAAACTGTGAAACTTGAAATCCACACAGGACACTTCACAAGGGTGAAGTAAGCTTTTCTGTTGCACAGGAGAGACAAAACTTAAGGATTACTGTAAAATGAAGTTCTGTCTAATGTTCTTTTTTGAGTACGTTTTTTAAATTATAAAACATACAAAGGTAAAAAGAGAAAAAAAAAAAGAAATCCAACTTGCCGAGTATGTTCTGTGTATGTTCTGTGAAAGTATTTACAGCACAGTTGCCTTTTGTTTCATTTCTACATGTAAAATTATTGTATAATACGACACTGTTTTGTCCCAACACAATTGTGTTTGCCAAGCTTTGTGCATTGAAAGATTTTTATTTATTTGTTTTTGGGCAGTATTAATATATCATAAACATATGGCTACTGTTTTATATATCCTAGTTCATCCAATCCATGTATGCTGTACATGTGCTAGTCTTTAGGATGAAAACCAATAAAGAACTGACGAGAGTAACGAGGTGGCTTACTTCTAGTGCTTTCTTGGGTAAACTAATCAGCACTTTAAGGTTGCTCGGCTTGGAATGCTTCATCTGCTCTGCAGTCCGACTCGTGCCTACAACAGTGCTGGTTGTCGCTGTTCAGCAGGGATAAGTTGGCCCTGATCCACAAACCACCCAGCCTATGTGCAGCTACACCGTGTGACCACTGGTGCAACCGCTCTGATTACAGAGTGACACCTTCAGGTGCTGCCGAACATAAAATGCACAGTGATGCCCAGTGGAAGGGCTGCTTACAGCTGTAAAAACAGTAGGTTTCTTTTTTGTGGCAGAAAGATTCCTTTAATGTAGGTGTTGGGTATTTGTCTGGCCTCTCACTGCAGGTGTATGCAGTACACACTGCAGGTGTATGCAAAACACAAATGAACAAACACCTCCACAAGTCTGCATATTGTGCACAGATGTAATTCTCTGCCCAGCAGCTGCTGCACAAAAGATTCGGGTGCTCTGGGTTTTAAATCCCGTTCAGTAACCATACAGATGTAATGTTTGAAGATTTGCCTGTGCTGACCACTTCTTAATGCCCTACTGCTGACCTTGCAAAAAAGCACCTCGTTCCTAAGGTAAGAATGTTGCTGTGTACTTCTTGCTGTTAAACACAGACGGTTGAAGTTGAGCATCTGAAGGCGTTCTGAGCTGTTACAGGAATCATCACTCGCTTGCAGCTGATGCACGTGTGTCCATGAAGACAACCCAAGGCAACTCAGAATGCAGGCAGCCTGTGTACCTCCAGCCATAGGAGCAGCATAGGCATGTCCTGAGGTTATTAGCCTCTTGCCTGGAGGAGCTGCTGACAGCAGCACTGCCTGCTCTCCAGTCTCTCGCTGCTCCAGCTGCAGCCTTCAAGCAGGGCTTGATGCTCTGGTGCTCTGCAGCCTCTCACTAAAGGGTGCTGACTGCTTAGAAAGGCTGGCTTGATGTAAATGTAACTTCTTACAGCTTCAGATGTAATCTGACAACGGAGGGAACGTTTTAATAGATGCAACACAAAGAGGACACAAAGCAAAATATGACAAACAGGAACACGCTTCTTTAAGCACTGTGATGCTATTCACACGTTCGTGACCTTTGTGCTGTGGATTACTATATGAGCATCTTTGATTTGTCTCAATTTCTTCAGGAGAGGAAATTCAGTTATGCAGGAGAGTTTTGTGCAACTTCTAGATCTTTTCCTAAGAGTGAGCTTTCTGGATGAAGATACAACTGTGACATCTGCATGGGAATGGTCTCAGAATGGACTACAGCACGCTGTGAGACGCGGATCGTGGCAGAAGCTGTGATGAAACTTGCTTTCTGTGTCAGTCATTTCTTTCCTGGTAGCAGATGATACACTGAATTACTGAAGCAAAATAGGACAATGCAGACCATGCTTTACCTGGCTCATTCTCTGTCACGGCCCCTGTTCTCTAGGCAGGTTTGCCAGCTCAGTGGCCATTCAGACCCTTTCTCTTGGAGCCCCAGGAGCCTGATGCCTCCTGAGGGTTTCCCAGGGAAGTGGTGCAGTCCCTGGAGATGTTGAAGAGCCGTGTGGATGTGGCACTGAGGGATGTGGTCAGTGGGCATGGTGGGGGTGGGCTGACAGTTGAATAGGATGATCTGAGAGGTCTCTTCCAACCTTAATGATTCTGTGATTTCTGTATCAAGGATTGCTGATGAGTAAGGTGTTGCATGGAGCAGCATGGCCTGAGCTTCTTCCCACTGCCAAGGCAGAACTTGGTACTTCAAGCCCTGCAGGTGCTGCTCAAGTCCCACGTGGGCTGTTTGACACAGCATGTGGACAAGGTCTCCTTTGCTGCCTGCACCCTCTGCTCTTTGGTACATTTGCTCTTCCGCTCTGGATCCTTGTTGCAGATCTGCTGCATGAGCTGGTTGACTGAGATGCTGGAAGCTGAGCTGCTCTTTTTCTCATACATGTCTCTTACTCCCTTTCCCTCAGCTGTCATCAGAAGGCAGAATCAGCTTAATGAAAACACGTCTGTTGTTTTAGGGCAACAAAGGTGATCAGAGACCTGGAGTATCTCCTGTATGAGGAAAGGCCAAGAGACTTGGGACTGTTCAGTCTGGAAAAGAGGAGACTGAGGAGGGGGTCTTATCAGTGC